TTGATGCAATCCTCCCCTTGCCCGACGATGTGAAAATGCGTTGCACACCATCTACAAAAACACTAAGGTGGTTCAGGAATCTGACAGTAAACCATCGAAGGGCGAATAAATGGTTCAGGCCGAATGATCGATGGGTGAATGACCCAAGGACGAACAGTTCGTCGGGCGTGGCCTCTTACCACCTTGGAATCCTACTCCTTCTGCCTCTTAGCAGGCCTTATCAACGAGTCATCCGGTAATCCACTCCGCTTCGTACCCGGAAGGCTACTCGTCCGTATATCGTTATCATCTTGACTCACGCGTCGGCATGGATACTCGTTCTTGCAGCCCTCGAAACAATTCGCACTGACACGGTCGCCGGTTGAGAAGAAGGGAGATTGAAGGGCTTGGGCGGCTGTGAGACGCTTTGAGGGGTCGTATTCTAGAAGACCGGCGAGGAGCTTGTAGCCTTCTGAGCCGAGAGAGGCAAGTGGTGGTGTGCCGCCAGGGGCGCTGGTGTGGTTGATGGTGCTGTAATACCACTTCTCGAGGTTCGAACCGCCTGGGGGAGGTGGCGGTGGATTGCGGGAGCCGTAGTGGCCGTGGTGGTGATGAGGATGATGATGGCTGTGGTGATTGTGGTGAGATGAAGCCATGGAGTTGGCGAGAGTGTTGAGTTGGTTGTATTCGGGCATGGTCGATAATAGAGGCCACTTATCCTTTGTTGGTACACCCATGATTTCGATAATCTTTTGCATCTGGTTGCGTTGAAAGGGAACCGTCTTCTTGCTATCCATTTTGGCTTCCTCTCCCTTAAATATCGGCCTCAAGGAAAGAAGTTCGGCGAAAATACACCCAACAGCCCACATGTCGATGGCAGGGGTGTAGTGATATGAACCGAGAATGAGTTCGGGAGCCCGATACCAGATAGTAACGACAACCTTATCGCCACTGAAGAGAGAGTGCAGTGGTTTATCGAAGCGACGTGCTAGACCCAGATCTCCGATCTTGACTTCGCCTGATGAAGTGACCATGATGTTGGCGGGTTTGAGATCACGGTGAAGAACCCAGTTGATGTGTAGGTACTGACATCCGTTGAGGAGTTGGAACATGATACTTTTGATGGTTGCCGGGGGAATCGGATGTCGTGGCTGTTGTGTGTGATGATGGATGATTTGTAATAGATCATGCTCAGCATACTCAAACACCATAAAGATACACTTGTCCTCGAGCATAATTTCGCAGAGACGGATAACGTTGATGTGGTGAAGTTCGCTGCAGAGACTCATCTCACGGACGGCACTCTGAGAGATGCCCGTGTAGCTGATCTGTTCACCTTCCTTGTCGGGCTTGAACTTCTTGATAGCGAATTCACCAACAGGCTTGCCATTGCGGCCAACAGCCTTGTAGACCCGTCCATAGGTACCCGAGCTGATGAAGCCAATGATGCGGTAACGATCTGTGATTCGGACTTTGGGCTGATACCCAGCTGAGCGATCGTGAGGTTCTACATGATGACGTTTTTGGTAAGCGTGAGCAGGAAACCCGAAGCCGTTGTGAGGACGGAGAGGCATCGCCGAGGATCAAGGCTTGTGTCTCGGTTGGTGAAGGGTGCGTTTAACCACTCGGCATTGGCACGGAAAGACGAGTGAGATGACGATGGTGAGTGATTGAGGCGAAATGTGAAAGGCTGGTCGAGAGGTCCACAGCTGCAGACGCCGAAGACGGAAAAAAGAGAACGAGACACCGAAAGATTAAATAAAGTGATGACGATGACAGAAAAGACGCTTCAGCTGATGAGACTTTTAAAAAAAAGACGTTGAGTTTGTTGATAGCTCGGCAGAACCGAGACTCAGCTGAACTGAACCGAACTGAACTGAGCTGAGTTGAGTCGAGTCGAGTTCGAGTCAGGCAAGTCGTTATTCAAAGTCGACACCTCAGGATAGGTAATCTTTTCCCTCTTTGGACAAGCATGCGGCGCAAACCCCGAGTGAGGCAAAAAAAGGGAGACTTTAAAGAAGAGGAGGAGAAGGATAAGGACAGTTAAAAAAAGGAAATCAGAGTACTCCGTAGCTGACGACAAGATTATGTACGTGGAAATGACAATGAATATTGAATGGACACGGAAGAGATACAAAATGCATGCATGCAACGGCTGAGCTAGACTAGACTAACTATCTAGTGCAGTGTGACCGACATAGGAGGCAAGGAACTTTCGATAGGCGATATATGCTCGTGAGATGTGACAAACCCAAAAAGATGAATGAGGATTGGATTGGATTACTAGGAGTAGAGAGAGGAAAATAGAACGGACTCACCCTCAAAAGACGCCTGAACACTCCTCTTCAAACTCCCCCTGACGACACCCAAGCCAACGGATCCCGGGCCCGAAGCCCCCGTCGGCGGATTCGTTACACTCATTTACTCGCGCCGGGAACCCTCAAAAAAAAACGGAACGGTTCTTCCGAGCACTGTCTCTCTCTCTCTGCCTCTCTGTCCCCGTAAGCGGGATTCCCTCAAATCAATGATTTGATTTGATTTGCGAGTGGAGTATCACCCACAGGAGACGAGATTGGATGTGCCCGTCCGTAGTGTCAATTCAAAAAGGAAAAGGTTTCCCCGCGCGGGGAAAGAAAAGGTAAGGTAATAGAGCGTAGGTAATAGCTTCTCGCCTTCTTTGTCCTAATGCACGACGCGTGAGAGTTGATAGGATGCGCATACGAGATTGTGTATCCCGTGCAGCACCCCTTTTGACTTTGGCGCTGTAGACTCTAATAAAACGACAAAAACGGCACGGCACTGTAAGGTTTCTCGGGAACTGCAGCCGTTGTACTCAGTTTCCCAGTCCCTTGCGGCGCGGATCTCTATCCTTTGGGGGGGAGAGACGCGATATGGGGTAGGTAATCGCTGCGGAGCCCCCTGTGGAGATTGGAAATAAGATGGTTATGAGTCTGAGTCTGGCTGTGAGAGCGATCGGTTGCGCTGGCGATGGGAGGGTTTGCGATACGAGATAAAGGTGAGAATGGGTTTGGTATGATTGAGATTCACGCCTCGTGTTCCAGAACTTTGCGACTGTTTGTCACATATCAGTGATGACTAAGCTGGCTTTTTGCTGTCAAGCTTAGGTTGTTGGTGATGGTTACATTGGACACGCTTTTGGAATGATCATGAACTATACTTCTCATGCTATCGCTCTCAATGGCCTTATCATTGAAAGGCATCTGAAATTGGTCAATTAGCTCAATTGACATCAACAAAGAGACGAGACCCCCCAGTCAGGACTAAATGATCTTCATAACGTCTTTTCTTGCTGTCTACCACACACTAACTTGAACGCAAAATACCTTCCCCTCTAACAAACGCTCAGAGGTTCTCTCTTATCGCGGTCCCAATTTCTCAAGCACTCTAGTACCCTCCTCCTCCCACTCCGCCTTGGTAACCCACATACTCTCCTTGTCCGCCATAATGTTGGCCAACACCGCTCCGCCAAGGAACACCATGTGTCGGCGTCGCGGAGGATCTTCTATCCGCACCTTGAACTTGCTCAAGCGCTCAGGGTTGCCCTGCAGCGCTCGTGTAAGCCACAGCTGCTTGAGCTCCTTCTCCAATCGCGACGGAAGACCGGGATACATGCTGCTACCACCAGACAGAACAATAGCCTTGAACAGAGACGAGCGGATGTCAACGTCGGCGGATTGGATGGTGTTGAAGAGGAATTCGCCCAGACCGGGGGATTCGCTATCGACGAGGTGGGGCTGGAAGAGACACTCGGGCGCCTCGAAGCGCTCGCTGCCAACGCGGATCACACGTCCGTCCGGCAGGGTGTAATCCTCGACGAGCACAGTGGTGTCCTCGCTCAGGCGCTTGTCAAGCTCGAGGTCGTACGACACGTAGCATAGCTTCTCCTTGATCTGGCGGACGGTTTCGAAATCGGCGGTTCGGTTGAGGGCGTAGCCGCGGCGCAGCAGCAGCTTGATGAGGTTGCGCGTGACGTCTCGGCCGGCAACGTCTAATCGCTTCGTGAGGTGGTTGAGGACCACGGATTCGTAGACGGGCACAATGTGTGTGACACCATCGCCTGAGTCGACTACAACACCGGAGCTAAGACCTACACCGCATTGATTAGCTTAGCTCTGGCGCAAGAAGCATTGAAGCTTCTGGGTAAACTCACCTTGGGCGTATAGAGCCAGAACGGCCTGAATAGCGACGTAGACACCGCCAAAATTATATCTATCAAACATAACCTCGCACATCTTCTCTCGGTTCTTCAGAGGGTTCATAGGAGGCTCCGTCAAGAGGATCTTCTGGCCCGTAGGATCGACCTTCAGCTTCTCATAGAAGGTATAATCCCAAAGATGTTCCATATCATCCCACTTCTTAACGATGCCGTTCTCCATGGGGTAGCTGATCTGGAGCATTGTCCTCGCGGCGGCAGCTTCGTCACCGCACATGATATCCTTGATGACAAGATCGCTATCGGTCTGCTCCTCGGAACGAAGGATCGGTCGGCCTACGATGGAGGGGTATTGATGCTCGGGGAAGTTCTGCGCGGCATATCCGACCTTGAGGAAACCGGTACCTCCGTCGAGGACTAAGCGGTAGAGATTCGAGGTCAGCTTGCGTCAGGGGAGAGATGGGGAGCTTCTGGAGCTTGTGGGGGAAGGGGAGGAGCTTACCAATGGGTGGAGGGTTAGACATTATGGCGATGGGCCACGACGGGGGGATGTGTATTGGGAGAGTTGTGAGGCCGAAGGAGTGTCGTGTTGGTATATGGGAGCTTCAGCTTAGAGGAGGTTGAGGTGGTCGTCAGTAGTGGGGTTCGAGTGGCCGACCGTCGTCAGAGGTGGCTGAGGCGGATCACGTGGCGCCCCGCGAGCTGTCTACCTTAGCTTCCGCCATGTAGACTACCTAGAGACCCCTCCCAAGATAAGTGAGGGAATTCAGTGCAAGAACAGTTTTAGAGCTTCATCAAGCTATACATATATCAATTTACGTATCGTCAAGTCTTTGTATCGGCCATCATGTCCGAGCTCCGTCTCCTCCGGCGGAATCTCCGCTTCCTCGTCCTCAACCCAAACTCATCCACTATCATGACTGAGGGCATGGCCAACGCCATCCGCCAAATGTCACTCCCAGACGTATGGTACACAGACAGCTAAAACAAAACAGTCGTCAATTCTACACAGGCTGATGTTTCACAAAAGTCAGTTGAGATCTATACCTACACGGCCCCTCCCCACTCCGCCCCAGACAGCATCAACGACCAGGAGGGCATCGACCGCAGCACGCAGGCCGTCCTCGATGACCCCAAGATCGAGGAGGAGCTTGAGTCGGATAAGTACGACGGCGTTCTCGTTGCGTGCTTCAGCGTTCATTGCCTGGTGTCAAAGTTGACTAGGTATCGACATCTTGCAGTGACGGGGATTTTTGAAGCGAGTATTCTCACGTCTCTTTCGCTCATGGCCGCGCCGGATAATGCAGGCAAATGGGGAATCGTCACCACTGGAAAGTGGTGGGAGGATCACTTGTCGCATGGTGTCAAGAACTTTCTTGGGCAGCAGAAGGATGGCGTGAATAACAAGTTTGCTGGTGTTTTCTCGTCTGGGCTTACGGCGGGTGACTTTCACACTGTTCCTCCGGAGAAGGTAAGGGAGAAGCTTAAGGAGGCGACAAGAAAGTTGCTCAATGAGGGGCAAGTGTCAGTCGTACTCATGGGATGCGGTGGTATGGCTGGTCTGGAGGAAATCATCCGATCAACTGCTATTGAGGAGTACGGCAAGGCTGACGGCAACCTTGTCTACATCGTTGACGGAGTCAAGGCGGGCGTCATGCAGTTGGAGCAGATGATCCGCAGCAAGAAGATCTTTCGATAAATCAGCAAGCGCTTCGTTCTATCTGTAGAGCCATATCTGCGACTGTCTAGTACGCTGCTTGAATACAAATAAAGAATTCATTCCGTGCGTGTACCTTACGCTTTGTAGCATCGTGAACGATTAATGACGATAAGTCAAGGCAGCATTTGTCGCAGGCTTCTAATCAACGCGCCTTGTCCTGCCCCAAACCTCATCGACATCCTTCTTGCCCTTCGTTTCTGGCACGTTCCAGAACACAAAGATAGCAGATCCAGCGGCTAGACCTGCAAAGATGAAGTAAACCCATCCGTGACCGCCCAGCAAGTCGTTAAGAGCTGAGTTTACAATTGGGAAGAATTGAGCGACCAGGAAAGTCGCTGCGTAGTTAGCTGCGAGACACCAACTCTGCGTGGCGCCAACAGCCTCTTGTCCGACCAGCTCGGAGGAGATCAGGAATGGTACTGGGCCCAGACCAACTGCGAAAAAGCCGACAAAGGCGACGACAGCGATGGCTGAAAGAATCTTGACTCCAAAGATGATCGAGATGGCTAGGATGAGAGCGCTTGATCCTTGTCCGATAATCGAGGCAAGGAGGCAGGTCTTGCGACCGAGACGATCGGGAAGAGGCGCGCATGCGATAGTAGTGAACAAGTTGACAACAGAAACGAGAATAGTGAGCAGTGACGAAGAGACAGGGAGTAGGTCAGCAAGAAGAGAAACGGAGTACATGATGATCGAGTTGACACCGCAAAACTGCTGGGCAAACATGATGCCCACGACAGCAACGATTGCAGGCCTGGTATCAGGATCCTTCAGTACTTCGAAGAATCCAAGATGCTCAGTCCGTTTCTTCGATGGTGATTCGGAGGCACTATCCGCCTGAAGCAAGCCGTCTTCTTCGGAAGCATCATGGTCATCTGAGTCCCAGGTCTCAGTCTCCTCATGGATGTCGTAGCCGTTGCCACGAATTCTCTGTAGGGTCCGCCTGGCCTTGGGTGCATTTCCCTGCGCTGCCAACCAAGATGGACTCTCTGGGACGACGAAGAGACCCAGAGTTTGCGCGGTTGCGATGAAGACTCCAGTAGCAAGGATCCATCTCCAAGCAGTACCGTAGCTCAGGAAGAATCCCATGGTCTGAACCACCAGGATACCAAAATTGATCGAGATCTGCGTCATGAAGCCAAACAGTCCACGTTCCTTGGGTGGTGCAATCTCACTGATGTAAAGAGGGACAACGACAGTCGACGCTCCAGCTCCGATACCAGCAAACAAGCGACCGAGCGCCATGACGAAGACGCTTCCTGCAACGGTCTCAACAGCTGCCCCAAACAAATAGAGCAGACCCGTGATGCGCATCGCAGGAAGGCGTCCACGTTTCGACGAGAACGGTCCAGAGGCCAAAGCTCCCAACAGCCCACCAACCATGAAGATGGAAGATATCGTCGCAAACGAAGCCTCGTCCATGGGGATACAATGGGGCATGAAGCCAGAACCAGCATCGTCATCTTTCGGCTTGTAGACCAGTCCCTTGATCTTGTCGAGGGCGGAGATCGATTTCTTGCGGCATGTAATAACGTCCTGGGGTGCGTTGAGTTCAGCCTAAGATAGTTAGTTAGCTATTATCACGGCGATCTTGCGGGAAACGTACCAAGTGAAAGCCGAACTGCAACGACCCCAGGGTCGTGATGGCGATGAGCAAGATCAGATACCCGCTGACATCGCGGAGTCTGATACCGGCCATTCTGGCGGTCGGATATTTCGTCGAGAGAATGGGTTGGTGAAGAGGTAAGGTTGAGTGAGGGAGGGTTCAAGGTGAGGATCTGGGGTACGGATAGGCTATAGCTTGAGTTAGCTTGTGCTGGGGGTGGGTCCATGTGCGCTGTGGCGGCGTGGATTACCCCTGTTTTCGGCCCCCCTGCGTTCATCATGACAGTGGATTGGAATGAAAGTTTCCAAATCCGGGTTATTGGAGGACAACCAGCTGATTGACCTTTATCTGAGAGTATTTCATGAACTTTTGAAGCGAGTCTTTCCAGGGTATCAATCTCGTATTGGTTTGACCAATGTTGAGATGGGATACGTATGCATGTTGGTCCCTTATCATAAAAGCATGCCGATTACCCGGGAGCTCAGCAGTCACGAGAGTTTGGGTCTGGTAAACTTTTGTCGCAGATACTTTAAATACATGCCAAGCCCCAATTAGGTAGTTCCCGTTCCTGTTAACTTGTCAGAAATCTTTATGATTCGCTGTTGCAAAAGCCATTATACTTTAGACAAATAATTCGTTCCCGAACTACCCTGAACATGTCCGAAGAACCCACCGACGAAGAGAAAATACTCTATTTTGAAGAACGCAACAAAGACCAGAATGAATCAATAATATTCTTACACGGTGGCGGAGGCAGTCATGTTGAATGGAAGTTGGTTGCTCCTCAGCAATCACTGTCCTCTCATCACCTAATCCTCGTCGACCTCCCAATGCACTCTGGATCTTGGGATATCGGGCGTCCTCTCACGCTCGCATCAGCTGCTGACGAAGTATGCAAAGTCATTCAAAAGCACGCCCATGGCGGAAAAGCACATGTCGTTGGCCTATCTCTGGGAGGTTTCATTGCTCTCGTTCTCACATCTCGCCATCCCGAGGTCCTGCTGTCGACGTTTGCAACCGGTGCTTATCCTTACAGAGGGATGTTTAAGTGGTTCATGGAGCACCCCATGGCGATGTCGATTGCGAATTGCATCCAGAACATCCCTGGCGTGCTTGAGGTATCGCTGCGATGGCAGGGAATTGACTACGAAGAATGGCTCGCCGAAACGAAGAAGAACACTTCACCGGAGAGGGGCAATTCAGCGGAGAGGAGCAAGGCGATGAATAAGGAACTCAGTGCCTTTAGTATGGAGGACGTCAAAGCTGTTGCATATTCTGGGGTCAGGACTTGTGTTATTGCGGGAGGGAAGATGGACCAGATTGATCCTGTACGAGATATGGGTGTTGTTCTGAGAGAGGGAGGACAGAAGAAGGGAGTCAAGAATGAGGCTGTTGTTGTGAGGGATGCGTATCATCCTTGGCATTTACAACTGCCAGAGTTGTTTGCTGCTGGAATCGCTGCTTGGGTACAGGAGAAAGAGCTGCCTAAAGAGTTTGAGATCTTGTAGCATGGTCAATACAAGGACAGCCGAATTCGCAAAAAAACAGGTAGAGCCCCTAAGGCAGTCAATAAGAGTTCACTACAGAATTGCTCATGCCACTTTCAAGGGCCTGGTTCGGGCTGAGCGCGCCTGCTTTAGGCAGAAACCGTAGTGAGGCACCTTCTGCAGCCGCGGGCTGACAGGACTTGCATGGTCTTACCCTCCATTCGCATCAGCCGCATTATGCGGGGATGCTATGATATGATATCCCCCAACACAGGAATTGTCTTTTTATCTTCTGGTTTATAATACCATGATCGGTATTGAGATAAAATAACTCTGTACAGTCATCCGCCATGGCCGAACCTCTTTCTTTGGCAGCCAGTATCGCCGGTTTAATCTCACTGGCCGATGTTATCTTCAGAACCACATACAAATTCGTCAGAGCTGCCAAAGATGCGAAAGATGAGATTCAGAGCCTTGTTGACGAGATCAGCAATCTGTCCAGTGTGTTGCGACGCCTTGAGGCTCTGACATCAGATTTGGAAGATGAAGGGCAATCCTTCGACCCGACATTGAGGAACCACTACCTTAATCACTGCTACAAGACATTCAACAAAATTGAATCAAGAGTCAAGAAGGCCTCCGAAAGCTTCAAGAAATCCAAGTTCGAAGGCATCGTTCGACAGCTTAAATGGCCCTTCTCATCGTCAGAGACAAAAGAGCTTCTGGCCGAGCTGTCTCGACATAAGGAAACCATCAGTGTTGCCCTTCTTGCTGACTCGATGAGGAAGATACAACTATCACTTTCCAAATCTGATGAAATAGACAAGAAGCTCAAGGCTCTAGGAGAGGTAGCGAGAAGAATTGAGATCAACACCATGATAGACATCAACAAACGGAAAAAGCGCATTCTGAATCATTTCATGAAAGCAAATCCGCAGTACGCCCTGCAAACAAGTATCAGACTTCGCCACTCCATGACTGGGCTTTGGTTGACTGAATCTCCAACCTTTATTCGCTGGCTCGAAACACCAGGCTCCAAGCTTTGGCTGACCGGCATACCAGGAGCAGGAAAAACCATCCTCGCTGGCTCTGTGATTCAAGAGGCTCTCTCTCTCAGTTACGCTTCTCGCAGGACAGGGGTGGCATTCTTCTTTTGTGACTACAAGGACTCAAAAACATGGAACATAGTAAATATTCTTGGCGCACTGGTTTCTCAACTTGCTCGTCAAAACGACGAATCATATAGCCTCCTGGACGCTTATTACGAAAGTCTCTACCCACAAGACGGACTCCCACAGACTGCGGATGCGGACGAACTACGAGCTCAGATCAGTCAAATGTGTGAGACATTTGACCAGACCATCATAGTAGTTGATGGCATTGATGAGTGTGATGATATGACCGACGAAGTGGTCGACAACTTGATCCAATTAGCTGACAACGCTGAGCGAGTGTCAATGGCTATTTTCAGTCGGGATCACGTCAACATTCGTGTGCGTTTAGAAGAAGACTTTGAGCCTATCCAAATAGCAGCCCATACCGAGGATGTTGAACTCTATGTGAATGCCGAAGTTGACAAGAGGATTCGCACACGACAGCTGCAGCTGGCCAGCCCGGATATGAAAGAGGAGATCCGGAGCGCTTTGGTGGGCAAGGCTGATGGGATGTAAGACCGCCGAGAATATCACTTGCGAGCCAGAATAACAAGATCCAGGTTCAGATGGGTAGTTTGCCAGCTTGACTACCTGTGCAACTGTGCTCACGACCAGGAGCGCCGCGAAGCTTTGAGCAAGCTCCCGCCCGACTTACCTGAGAGTTATCGTCGCCTTCTCGAGAAGGTAAACAAATTCTCTCTTGGAGTACAAAACATGGTTCAGATGTGTCTTCACTTCATGGCTATAGCAGAGCCGAAGTTGACGATAGTTGAGCTGCGGCAGGCGGTCTCAACCACAGCAATAGGGGAAAAGATAGACGAAGGCAATATTGTACCGGAGTATGAAATTTTGAAGAGGTGCAGCAGCCTCATCCGAAAATCTACTGATGGAAGATACTTCGAATTTGCCCACTTCTCTGTCCGCGAATTCCTGGAAGATGAGAACGCCACATCTCAAGGGACCGACCTTGGAAAATACCGGATTACCCAGCACACGACGCACCCGCTTCTTGCTACGCAATGTCTTCGGTTTCTTCAAATGAAGAATTTTGACAAGTTTCCCAACAACCCGCACGAACAAGTCGCTGCCACTGTTCAAAGAAACGAGACATACCCGTTTTACAAACATGCCGCTCTCCTATGGATCAAGCTCACGAAAGATGGCCTCAGTGACGCAGGCATTCTGGATTTAGCAAAGTCCCTGTTCCAGCCTTCCAAGCCAGCATTCTTCATGTGCTGGGCTATTGAGGTTCTCAAAAAAGTTACATATGCTACTGGCACTCGGTCAGCACTGAGCGAAATACAGGCCTGGAGAACAGTGAGCAATCCTTCTTTTCAGCCATTACACATGGCTGCTGCTTTGAATATCCCTGAGATATGCGACTTCTTGATCTGTAGCGGTTCAGATGTGAACCAGAAACTCGATGCCGCAACACCTCTCGACCTTGCATTTATGTCCATCTTGGCAGTCCCTGGACTGGCAGAAATGAGCGGGACGAACGAAAAACATCGCTCTCTTATTACCAATGGAAGAAAGCAGTTCTTGCCCTCGGCTCAGCGTAGAGATGTGACGATTGACTGCCTAATACATGCCGGAGCGCGCTCTTCAGCTCATCGGATCCCTCCCAATACGCTCTCTGTTTTCTCTATCACCTGCTTGTTTGCATCGATATTCAACGACTTATACCCTGTATTTCGGTGCTTATGCGCTCGCACCACACCATCTGTGTCTGACGTCAAGGTTCTTGAAGAATGGCTCGTGGCTACTAGTACGTCAAATTATGTGGCAGAAGTGTCGACTCGCATGCTTTTGAAATTCCTTAGTTCAACTGGAGCCTACAATAGCGACTGGGGTGCTGAGCTGGGCTTGATTGTGTGGAGTTGGGCTCAAGAATGTGACTTCTCCCTCACAAGAGATTTAACTCTGGTTGGTTCTTGCGACCTGATGTCGGACGACGCTTTGGTTTCCCAACTGGTCTCAGCTATTTGCAGCGATAATACCGAGTTGCTCAAGTACTGTTTCAAGGATAGGCGAATGAAGAATCAAGTTCGATACTCGGGACTTGTTAATGGGCTTTTACACCTGGCAATCAAGTACAACGCCCTTGACAACTTTAAAGCCTTGGTTAGTGCAGGGTTCGATCCCTATACCCAAAACGAGGAAGGCAAGTTCCCAATCCATTTGTGCGAGCGTCATGGCAGGCTACGGCTTTGCAAGGTCTTGAAGGATCTTAGAATATCTCTTATGAGCCAGGACACTGAGGGTTACAACATCTTGCATTACTGGGCTAAGGATCGCCCCTTGGACTATCAGTTTATCAATGCTATCTTTGAGTTGGATACAGAAGAGGCGATCAAGGGTCTTCAGTCAAGGTCATGTCATGGCGATACGCCGTTAACTGTGGTGTTCGAAAGCGCTGGAGAGAGTCCAAAGAGCGAACATCGCGATCTTGACTTGAATAAGCTATGCCTTCAGATTCTGGACTTTTTGCAGAGATACCGCAGGGCAAAAGACACGACCACGAGCCTAGGGCCTGAAAAAAGCGTCTACCCTCAGAAGGGAGCCTTTGCCGAGTTCGACAGTATGATAGGAACCGAACCAACACCATTACACAAACTGAAAGCTTGGGTCTCTTTTGACCAAGTAAACTTTCTGATTAAGCTTTATCCAGACGCGGTTACTTCACGGATTGATGGTAGACTACCGCTTGAGAGGTACATCACTAATACGCTCGAAAATCGCGTGTTTCCAAACAGTGATATCATCAAGGCACTCTTCCCCGAAACCCTGGATGACACTGAATCAAGTGAAACCCAGAGCTTGTGGAGCTTTTTGTGTTGCCTACCTGACAATGAGGGGACCAGCACAGAACAATACATCAGTTCAAAGGAATTCGAAACCATGATAACGAGCGTGTTCGAACTTGGAGCGATGCGCAGCCATGAGAAACAGTTCGAAGAAAGTGGACTGAAGCTACTACTGTCCAACCCCAAGTCATCGTTGATGCCAACGATTCGCGATGCTATTGTGCAAACCAATTACTGGGATGACCTAAAAAGCTCTGACGAAATATCCCTGTTATTTCAGGATGTCCTCAAGAGTGCCAATCTCGATATGATACGGCTACTTAATGAGAATGGAGCCAACATCCATCGCCGTGTGGATGACCAAACGCCCTTTGAAGTTGCATTCCGTGCCGGCGTGGCGACTGGTCTTTGCACCACCGACGAGGGATCCGCGGCTCTCAGGGAGTTACTGGGACATTGCAGCGTGGATGAGGCAGTGAAGAAACCCCTAGAAATAGATCGGGCATCACCTCTTCATACACTTGCTACGTCAGAAGAGGCAAAAGACATCCTTTGGTTGGCGGAGGCACTTGTGCAACATGGGTTCGACATAGACTATGTTGGCTCAGGCTCGTATGCTTCTACTCCTCTTGTGTATCACCTCCAACAGTCCTCTTTACAATTTGCAGAGCGACTGCTAGAATTAGGCGCCGACCCATATGTGAGCGGTCCTTCGTTCTTTAATGGGGTGCTCACTTGTATAGCCACCGATAAGTTGGCATTCCTGCAGAAGATTGCAGATCACACAGACCAGGCAGGGACTTCGTTTCGATGGTCTGATCCTGTGACTTTTGGAGTCCAAATCCTTGGTCAGACGGTTATGATCAGTAATGGAACCACTATCCATTTGGCCTCGGCCTGCAATAGTGTTGCTTGCCTTGAGTACATGCTGGACCAAGTCTCAGCACCGGACAAGACTTCGATATCAGATGAAGGGCTTTCTCCGGTCCATATTGCTGCCTATGGAGGATTCGTGGATGTCGTGAAGCTTCTTCTGACAAGAGGGTTCAACGCAATGATAGAGAGTCAATTCGGCTTCAGTCCATTGCACATGGCCGTATTCGGCGGTCATCTACCCGTTGTCCAATGCTTGATTGAGTATGGCGCATTTCAAACCTTGGATACCAACGGAATGAGCCCAGGGAGGCTTGCCTTCGAGCTTGAGCTCCAAGAAATCCATGAGGTTCTGGAAGGTGATCCCCAAGGTGGCTACAAACAAATCTCATCTATCCAAAAACTTACGGAGTTTGTGGAACCAACAGAGCGTTTGGCATTGGCGTTCGAAAGAGCCTTAGATGAACATGACTATGAAAGCATGATACAGTTGATTGACAAAGGGTGCTCTGCCGATGTTCCCCTCCCATCAAGACCTGGATTGTCCGCGCTTCTGGTAGTTTTGGACGATGGCAACTTTGCCATGGGCGAATGGCTGTTAGGAGCAGGAGCCAGTGCACTACAAGCGGATTGTAACGATGGATCTGGGAAAAGCGTCATTGAATTGACTGCTAACCTGCCAAGCCTCAATCGTTTGCTGCCCGAATCTTTCTTGAAATACTTAAGGCAAGGCGGTGATTTGAGATTCGGGTGTGAGTTTCCATTCTATGAAGCAATAGACGGAGAGAATATGGCAGGTCTTGAGATATTGCTTAAAGAAGCAGAAAAACACCTTCAATACATTGGGTAAGCAGAAGGGAGAGAGGTGTAGGGCAATTGACTAACCATCTCGCAGATCTCCACAAGCCTTCAAAGACGTATTGAACCGCTTGTTTCCGATGGATTTCAATTGTGAAAATAGCTGTCAAGTATGGACGTATCATGCAGAGACGACAGCGTTGCACATCGCCGCGTGGGATGGGAACAAGGAGGCAGTCTCGCTTCTGGTAGATAGGGGAGCGAATATAGATGCAGCCGACTCGAATGGGTGGACACCACTAATGCTTGCGCAAGATGTTGGTACGGCGCAGTATTTGCTGTCGCTTGGGGCATCGATAGCTGCTGTGTGCAGGCTCGGATCACTACCGTCATTTATCAACTGGTTCGGTGATAATCTGTTCGATGAAGCGCACCCTGTCAGCTTTTCACAATTACCAAAGGAGTTATTCACTGTATCAGACCCGCCACGATTCTCGGCAAAATGCGAGGTATTGCAACTGACCCCTGAAACTCTGAACAATCTACATCAGCTCCATCATGATCTGACGAGTGAGGATGAGGCGGGTCGGAGTATGATACATTACGTATTGGGCGAAGAAGATCTGGTCGACTGGGTATTGGACCGCGAACAAGATCTGAGCAGAACGACTCCTTTTCCGTGGCACCTGGAGTGGTGTGAATTTTCTGGTCTTGCCCTACTAACGTCCTCATTCGAGCGGCTTCGACAACGAATGCCGGCTGATCTGTTCTGCAAAATCCTGAATCTTGAACCATCGCGCGGCTGGAGCCCTTTATGCCATGCGGCCGCTTTGAATCGCGTTGATATTATCGCGAATTGCCTCGAGATGGGTGCTGATATCAACTTCGAAGGTTCCTGTTTTGGATCAGCAATCATGAATGCAAGTGTCTGCGGGAGCTTAGATGCTGTCAAGCTTCTCGCCCGCAATGGGGCATCTTTAACGTACTTGGGTAAGAGCGGGTTCACCAGCTGTTTTCTAGCCGCTGGAACAGAGGCGGTCAGGGAATGGCTTCTTTGTGGTCGATTCATGGACCAGCAGCGTCTTACAGCTGAGAGTGATGCGGATTGTGTTCAGGCAGAAGTTCCATGGGGTGGATATATACAAGCCAAAGTGTTGCTTTACGGCACAAGAGCCCGATGGCTTGAAGAGTCGACTTTGGATTATGCGATGAGATTGTCGAAGATGAAGAAGAGCTGGCAGGGGAAGGTTGTGCGGCTGCATGTCGAAGAAATGGACTCGACTTCGGATACAGACTCAGATACTGGTTCTGAAGGAGATGCGGAATCGGATCAGAATCGGAGTTTCTTCACGCGGATCAGGGGTGTCGGAGGGTCTGACTCCTACTCAGAGTCGAATTCCGAGTCTGGCTCTGGGTAATGTTCGTGTTTTTGAAGGAGAAGGCAGTCAGAAGAACTTGAATTAAAGGGAGGAGATGCGTAATAAGCCATGTTTGGATGATGCCTTTTTGTCACTTTCATCTTGACGATTGCGTTTGCAAGGGAGCACTCAGCTTGAAGTCGAGGCAAACTGTTTGGGATAGGCATGAAAGAGAGGCGACATTGAGCAAATAAAACAGATTAAAGCCGTAGATATGATGAGAGTAGAGGAAAGATGCATAAGTGGAGGAGACCAAAGATATTTGACAGCTGTATTATAAAAACTGAGCGAGGTAGAGATAACGGTGAGTGTGCTTGCACTGACAGAGGGGTAGCCTGCCATACTAGGCCCCAAAGATCCTGCATGGCCCTTTGTTTATCGGTAGGCATGTAAATTTAGTGCAAAATATTTCGTAACCCCCTCGTCTCCCTCCTCCACGACCTGCATGCAAACTCGACCCACACATAACCACCAACAAACGTGTTTGGACGCGGTCCCTATCACCCTCTGAAAGTATATGTACGAATAGAGTTCCGACAGAGTAGTCTCTGTTTGTCTACAAGGCCGCCAAGATGCAGGCTGCCGAGTATGCGTCCAAGCGGGCCCATGCCACTATGCACCCTTCCACTGGTGTCGACCCTACCAAGAATCACGACACCTACTGGAAGACCGCCCTCCTGACCGAGGAGCGCGACTGGGAGAAAGTCCCTCCTCCTGCGCGTGATACCTTCACCTTGTCCGACATCCTCGGCCAGACGGACCCTCATCTCGCTGTCGTCTCCCGCACTGGCCTCATCAGCATGTCTCTGCAGTACTACCAACCGCCTGGCGAGACTGAGTGCCTCCAGCACTTCTTCTTCGAGCTCAATGAGAACGTGCTCTTTGCCGATGAGGACGGAAACCGTTGTGCCATCCATGGCTTCGCTATGTGGATGGCGCCCACCGCCGATGGCAAGGCCGAACTCACTGTGCGATTCTGCATCAAGAGCGAGCCGTTCATGGATCCTCTTCTGATATTTGAGTTTGAACTTAAGAATTCGAAGAAGGACCCAAAGGAAAACTTAATCCTGATCGACTTCATCAATGTTCTTCAGGGTACTCGTGCTGGGCTGCCGGAGGAGGAGCGTACGAACCTGCTGCGCTTCAAGTTTTAGGAGACTGGCGGTAATTTGTACGGATACCGCGACGCCCTGTGAGTTCAGATCTCCCCTCTCATAATTCTCTCGTATCTTTTTGAGCGCAGCTAATATGAAATAGCCTCCAGTGGATGATCCGCCTCAACAGCGCCGAGTTCCTCAGCTGGTTTTGCATCACCATGGACTTTGAGGATGCCAACTTTGCTGGCGACGGCGAATACATGGGCGAGCTCAAATTCGACACCATCATCTACAAAAAGTTCAAGTCCGACCCCAACGAGCTTGGTGACAACATGAAGCGGATCATTGACGTGGAGAACAAGCCCATCAAACGCGGCGTTTGGCTCGACGAGAGTTTCACCCGCCCTCTCGAATACCGACTTGCGAAACTGCCGTACGAGGGACCTCCCGCCTTTGGCGATGGCGTCATCAATGCTTCTATCGACAAGTGGTTCGAAGGGATTGATGACTGGTTTGCTACGGGGGAGTTTGCTAAGGAGTGATGGAAGAGTGTGTTCATGTTTTTGGGACTGTCAAGGGAGGGCTTGGTTTCGCGGCGGTCATTGAATCATGGGGGGTTATAAGGATGATTCCATGAAAGGATTGAAGAATGAGGGATGGAAATGAATTGCTCAGTAGCTACATAAGGAGCGCTATATATACTGAATCAACGACGGATTGGTGCAACAGACGGCGCAAGCCTGATGTACCTCGAGTCTACTGTATCAACACCAAACATAACCGCCTCTGCCCCATCACTTCTCGTCTTCATCTTGTCCCACGGTCTGTAACCGTCCAACTCGTTGTCCCACCAAGGTCCCCTCACGGCATGCGCAATAGCAAGGAACGACGCCGGTAGTTGAGGAAGATGCTTCATCCTATTGCGAATGATGTCGATGACCGAGACAGATACTGAAAGGAACAGCATGACTGTTACGGCAATGAGAATACTGCAGCGCACGATGTACACTGATTCCGTGATGTGGGAGAGCGTAGGAACAGATGAAGTACCGAAATATCCAGCTGTGCTGATCGACACAATCGCGTGAGCCATGTTGCCAAAGAAGTGACCGAAATCTTCCGCCGTGGGAATCGCGTAAAGAGCATCGAGGGTATCGTCAACAATACCGATCTGGTTGCGGAAGATGTACCATGGAATAGCAGACATGTACACGCCCAGCGCATCAAGCGCCTCCGTGTCGAGCGCTGTTTGATTGGACCCAGGGGCTTCTGTGCAGGAGGTCATGATCGTACCGTTGAAGGTACACGAGCCAACGAGCCATTTGATGGACGGCGTGCATTTCGTGCGGGAGACCCAATCTCCTCCGTCTGTTTGCACCAAACTCTTGTCGTTGCCTCTGTTCCGCAGAGCAGTCTCGTTGACATTCGGGATAGATTTCGTAGCTAAGAGGGAATAAGTCGTGCCTGAGGTTGGGATCTTGTTTGTGCCGTGGACTGAAGCGTTACTCCAGAGTCGAATTCTCTGCGAGCCTTGAGCAAGCAGTTCGATGCTCTCGACGCTGTTGTCAGGGAGGGTGAAGTTGTAAATCGTGTTGCCGTCATCTTTGTAAGAAGTGTAGTTCACTTCAGTAGCAGCCTCACATGCAGCGGTCCAGTTGAAGAAGACCAACCCATCGTAAGTTGAGTTTGTAGCAAAAGTGAGGTTATGCGTAGGCACAGGCCCCAAGACGCCAGAATCAACATTCGCCAACGCATTCTGCGATACGAGACTCCCTACAAACGTAAACACCGTTTGAGACAAAAACGTGTCATTCTTCGAAAGCGACGGACGAAACTCCAAGTCTGGACTGGCACCCATCGCAGTTGATAGCGCGGTAATGTTACTCCCCGCCACGTCCCGCGCAATCGGAACCCCCACGACACCCCAGCCCTCCTTAAAATGTCCATACGGCCCAACAGTAAGCGACAGCGTTCCCACCGGCACAAGCAGCGTTCTCGTAATGATCAACAAGGTATGCATGACTCCATACCACCACGAATACTTCATCACAGCCGGTAGCGTCAACAGCGTAACGCCCTCTGCGATATCATCCAGATCTCTAATGGCAACAGGCTGCTGCGTCGTGAGTGCGAACAAATGCAATCTGCGAAAATCAAAGACTACAAACTGAACGAATAGAGCTGCTGGGGCGAGGAGGGCCGAGAGCGCTATACCAGAGTATAGTTGATCAACGGGGACAGAATCGCCTGTTCGAAAGACTCGACGTTTTGAAGCATCGTTATCGAGCAGTGCGCCGGTGTACGACCAGACTACGCAGAATATTGCACCGGCTAGGTAAATGCCAAGAGTAATGACATACCATTTCAGCCAACTATCCAGCTTGTACAATCTTTTGAAGTTTGTGTCTTGAGAGATGGGGGAGTCTGTTGCTAGACCAGGGTTTTTGTCGTCGACTCGGTCTTCTTTATCGAGTGAGGAGTACACCGCCGGTGTAGCCATGGTGTCGATAGATTGTGGGCGATTTGGACAGAGAAATGGGGTTTGAGATGTGGGAGAAAAGTCGGTCGGAGGTGGAGGTTGGCATAAGACGAGACGGACGCGGTGGACGGACACGGACACGGACATGGACTACGGAGACTGTGGGGTCGGTGTAAGCAAATTTAACTTGAAACCGGCAATTGATCGCTCGTCCTATGAGACGGGTTATAAAAATATCTAGCATTCATAAAAAGTGAATTGTTTTAGGCAGAGTGGTGTAAGGTAATGTTTGCCTAAGACAGCCTACGTTTGGGTTGGTCTGTTTGAGGTTGACAACCCAATCGCGTAGCTTCAAACTTGAGATGCAGCATTGGATATTAACAGCAAACATAAATAACAGCGAAATATTCAGTAGCATAAACACATTTGATAATCTTTAGATTTAGGTGACTTACGAAACTAGATAGGAATCAAGGTATGAAAGATATTGCTCAAAGAGAGATAATCATATAATATTGTATATTAGTATATACGAGAAGCTACCTCTTAGAGAAGCTACCTCACTGCGTACCGTTGAAGTCAAGACACTGGCCGCTACTTTACTGAGGAACATTGCGGATGTCGACCATGAGGTGACCATTGCCCCAAGCAGGGTTCTGTCCTCGAACCTTTCCATCGGCTCGTGTGCAGCGGCTGAGGATCGTTAGTAAAGCAACAGTTGATACACGAGGGAGAAAACTTACTCCATGACAAGACCAGCGCCTCGGGCAACATCACGGCTAAGAACGGGGTCAGTAAGGACTCAACAAAGAGGGGCTTTGAACATAAGCTCACCAAGGAGAAGAAGAAGTTTGGTCGCTGTTAAGTCCAACAGCAAGACCAGTGATCTGGGTGTTTCCGCGTCTGCAGAAGGACTGGCCGGAGACACCAGCTACGCAGGCTTGATCACCGAGACTGGCGAGGTAGTTGATGCACTCGACTGCTTCGTTGACCTTTAGGAGGTTAGTAAGCTGGATCAAGCTGCGGAGGAGCTGGAGATGAAACGTACGTTGGCCAAAGTGTTTCCAGGGAGGTTGTCCATGCAGCTGGTATCATCACGAGCTTCAAGAGGTTGTGGAGCAGCAAGGGCTGAAGAAGCAGCGGTGAGGAGGATAGCGAGAGAGGTGATGAAGTTGACCATTTTGGCGGTTGAATTGTGAAGAATAAGTTGAAGTCTGAGTTGAAGTTGTAAATCGTGATCTGATGAACAGACATCATATCGAAGGAATCCCTCTCTTTATACTATTTCCATTTCTCCGCCCCCATGATAATTTCTTCACCAGCCTCTTGCTACGTTACCACAAGATCCTCAACGAGGCAGAGTTACATTAAGTCCGTGAGTTTCAATCCGAGGCTATAGCAAAGACAATGCTAAAATTGGTAGAGTTATCCGAAAGAGCCATTCGGAGATCGTCAGTGAGAAACGGGTTGGAAATACAGGGGACCCCCATGGTTAGTCTTGCGGGACGCTGACAACGCATGGATTTTATGCTGCAAGTGGCAGGAGGTCACACAGAAACGGAATTCCGTTCCGAGGCGAATTTTCACTAAAGTTGAGTTTAGAAGCATTTGTTGCTAATAAGAAAAATAATAACATGTTGGACTTTAAATACTTCATTTTTCTAGCTACACATTAAATTAAGAAGACTTAGGTGATGTTGACGGCTTCATATCTCGAGGTATCTTCAATATTCCCGCCGTATAGCCGTTTCAGCCCAACCAGCATAGTAGCATGATTGACCATAACCCTATCTTGTCAATTGAAAATCCCTCGGGTCGCCCGGCGTGTAATTGGTAGGCGGATGACAAGAGCCCCCCTGCATTTTAAGACTCGCAAGTTCTCTTGCTAACTTTCTGCGGGATAGTTTTCTTACTCAGCCTCTAGAAACTAAGCCTCAGCATAAATGCCGAGAACTTTTGGGTCATCTGTTGGCATCTGAATCTGCAGTCAGCTTTGCCTAGACACGTGGGAATAATAAGAATTCTGGAAAAATTGCATCTGCCGATGCGGTGAGGGTTGATGCTTAAGGTGAGATTCTGATCAGGGCCGTGTTGTAACATGTCGAATACACCGAGGTTCTCTACTAATTATTGGAACTCAAGCTCATATTTTATTTCTCTGAATAGTTAGCCTAAATAGCTTGGATAAGAATCCATCTAAGAGTGATTCCAAATCCCATTAGGTGTCTTGCAAAGGCTCACCACAGCCTCCGATTGATCTCAGCGAGGTTATCACTGGTCCAAGGCTTCAACACTGTTTCTTCCGGCTTCCGATTGTTGTAGTGAGGCTGAGTCCTGCCACGACGATACACGATCCTCAGGGATCACTTTGCATTAACCAGTCGCAATAGTGGCACACAGGATATTGTTTCCCGAGAGTCAGAGTCAAGCCAATGACGGAGAATATTTCAGCAAAAGTGTCCGTAATGTCCGGGCCGCCGGGGATTTCCTAATCAAGCTTACTACAAACAGCTCAATCTGCAATACTACTCTGCTAACTTTATTCTTACGGCTTATAGGTTCTTCTATAGCATGGATCCTACGCTGACTAAGTCATTGACGGACATCACCTTCAGGCTGTGGCGGTTAGTCTTGCTTGTCTCTTCTTGAGCATGGCGTCATATCTGGGAGTAAAGGTATTCCAAAGACGCACGGGTATCATCATGAATTTCTCAAAGCAGTAATGATATAATCCAGTCGCAGGCCACCAGAAAACCACAAGTACCTTCGTACTATAGACTATGCCGCCGGAAACTTGCTGAAATATTTAGATATTCGGCTTCAACCAACACCACAACTGCCGAAGATGCCCAAAGAAGTGCAACATGCAGTACTCACTCTCCACCCCCACGAAACCTCAACGAATTGGCTCCATCCCGTATGTTAGCCAGCATCAGGGTGCAACCAACGTTCGGGCCGTTCAGAATCGTCATCCCTTCATTCTCTGCAAAGGAACCAAAACTGAAATGGAATTTCTCATTTATCGACAAGTTTGTACGGCAGCATAACGGTCAAGAAGTTGTGCCACCCCGGCTTATATGAAATGGCCTCATGTGCGGGGTCGTCGACTGCCACAAACACTCTTGCCTGCAGACCGAATGATGCAATCACCGTGGACAGGCAGTACTGAGCTTGGCAATGGAAACGGGTGTGGACATTGGCTACGAAAGTGTTATGATGGGAGAAGACGGTTATATCAAGACAGTTTTGCCCAGCTTTCTCAAATATCAAGTCAGAATTCTCCAAGAGAATATTCTTTCCTCCAAGTTCTGGGCAGTCATTACATGCACTCGATCACAGCCTCCAACTGCACTCACTGTTATATCTTTCCACAATGGCTTCCTACTACCCCGAAGGCGAATGCTACTTCGTCAGAAGCTCTCTAAGATATAGCTCTCACTGGTCCGCAGATAACCAAGCTTCGTTCTATAGAACCGTTCTTCTCGAGTACTACTGGAATGGATGGCCAGCGACTGGTGTGACCCAAAGATCCCATCCCAGGTCACGCTGGCAGCATGGTACACCTTCAGGAGTCGGAGGCACGCGTTTTGGGGACTGGGACAGATTTTGGGTGGGAGAGAGCCGAAACAAATCCCCGTCTGATATGCTCAGAATCCACAGTCATCCCAACAGCAATAACTGGAATGAATGTCGGGATCACCAGAGGGGAGGCCCCAGAAAGTACATCCTTCGTCCAGTGGAAATCCAGCACAATGATACCCAGTGGCTGTGGATTGATGCTACTATTCCCCTGAGAGCGATCTACTTCCCCGTTGCTTTCAGCACAGACCAAGCTTTCCCTAACCTGTGCACTTACGTGGTTGTCGACTTCAGACACAGGACGCAACTTTTGATACGGGGTACTGATGGGGTTCTCCGGAATTTGACTGTCAACTCCCATAACGGCCTTGGCTGGCATGATAATCTTACATGGGGTTTCAACATAACGGACATCATTGCCTATCTTTCCATCCCACACAAGCTGCGCAACCCGGACTACGGGTTGTTCACATCCAAGCAGCGTGGCCAAGAGTTGGTTGTTTCCGCCAACTCGACAATAATGTGGAGGTCTTCTTCTGCGACCATAACCCATCGGGATTTCTTCCGCGAGATGGACTTCGCCAGAATCCTCAGCGCCAATTTTGGCGTCGAGGTCGGATGGAGACCATACCAGCACAACCCTTTCCTCAGGGACCTGCTCCTCCGCATCGCTCAGCTAGGCCTGGGCTTCATTCCAGGTGTCGGACCCATCCTCTCTGTCGCATTCGGAATAGGAGTTCAGCTTCTTATAGACCCCGACTCGTTCGGAAGGGACAATGTTCTTGATTTATCTTTTGCTGTTCTGGAGAGTGTGATTAGCTCGGGCAAGAGATCTCAGAAGTTTATCGCACCAGATTGGCTTGCCCAGTGTCCATGTGGCGGTCAACAGCGAGGTGTGCCGTTGACGGATCAGCAGCGAGAGGCTCGCAAGAAGTTGGGCGAGGAGATCAACAACCGTCTGACTGCCGAGTTGAATGCTCAGCCTGTCATACGCTCCCTTGAGGAGCAGGAGAAGCTTCTCACTCGGCGGGTTGAGGAGGTTCATGATGAGGCTACGGAAACAACCCAGGAGGCTGAGCTGGGAGAGGAGCCGGACGAGAAGCAGGAAGCTGGGGAGCAGGGAAATAAGGACGAGGCTGAGGCCACTGGCGAGAAACATGATTGAGAGTTACGAAACACAGTCACTTGGTAATTGTTGGTGGACTATTAGGAAATTATTCACTCCTTTCATGTTTCAGTTTTGGGACGGCATTTGATATTTTCAGGTTTGGGAAATTGACATCGCTAAAGTAACAGACGGTGAAGAGAAGATTGAGACGCTGAAGAATTTCGAGCAACGTGAAAATTGCTTTGAGATTGCCAAAGATTTGGTTGATGAACTAGCTTGTCTTGTAGTTATTAGCTTTGCGCTGCAGCAATTGACCAGACATTTTGGTATTATGTCTAAGTCTGAGCTAGATGTGTAACTTGCATTTAAGACTTTGGCTGAGAATCTGAGTCGAGACAGAGAACTTGGTGTTTATGTATTAGCGTTCTCTGCTTCAGAGCTTCTGCCACCAATCACTATTGCAACCAGAAAAACCGTAGGCACAAGAAAGAGGGTCAGTACACAGAACAGCGAAGCCTTTAGACAGGAGGGTACACCTAAAAACACAATGGAAGAGCTTATTCGTGCTGAAGTCTGCAGCATAATTTCTCACAAATCTGCTCCAACGTATCTAAGCTTTGACAGATATCCTTGTTGAAGTCTTAGGCAGACAGCCGGTCCAAAGCATGAATTCATTGGGGCCTTTCCATTGAACTATCTTGATAAATATCAATGGAATGCCAACTAGCCATCAATCATACTGTCCAAGCATCCATGGCCGCTTCTCAAACATCTGGCAGCCGAGCCAATCTCACAGCCTCATCAGCGAACATTCTTAGTCCAGTCTTAATTCAACAATTTCTACCACAAAACCTTTGGACAAGATCAATCAATATCCACCAAAATGTAGGGGAATTGGGATGAATTGTCCGAACAAGCAATCTCCTCCTCGCGAACCGTTACGATGCCCTCGGTCTTGGTTCCTTGGTGATATTCCAAAGGACTGTGCACGATACAGAGCTCTTTGAGTTGTGGAACGGCCTTAAGAATGCGAGTAATGAGTTCTGACCACCACAAGTCCTTTTGAGCATAGGTTGGCAGCCAGTAGGGCCACTGATTCAGCTCAGGAGTGGCCTGCATTGGATCGCCTGATTCGTCTCCCCCCGAACTGGAGGCTAGCCTGTCAAACAAATGACAGTCATATTCCAAACGAAGCGACTCTTCCTCAATGGTAAAAGCGAAACGACGCAGTCGTGGCATCGACTTCAGCTGTGTAATAAGTCTCTCGACGTACTCATTCTTGTATGCTTGTATCAGTAATACAACATTGAGCAAGATTGAGGCTACTTACAAGGTTTAGCAGATGTAGCCCTTTGCAGATACGTAGACTACCCGACAGGCACGCTACAATATCAACCTGATAGAGTATAAGAGCTTCCAGGTGCGGAAAGTATTCATTCATTCGTTGAAGAATGTTGCTGCTCATGCAGGCAAGCGTTCGCGAACGACTCTTGAGTGAAGATACATCAACCATCAAACCTTTGAGTAAGGGAAATGCTGATTTCAAGGCCAAAGGATGTCTGCTTGCAGTTTGGCGAGGAAGCTGAACTGCCTTGACAGTATTAGGGGCGAATTGGTTTATGAGGGCACTGAAGATCAGAAAGTTCCTGCGACCACAAAAGATGACGGCCTTGGGGCCATTCCACTTCGGTGTGCTGCGGAATGCCTCAGTAAAGTCAATATCGTCCTTAATTTGGTTGTTGAAAGAGATCAGATCAATTGACGATAACTTGGAAACGAATTCACCAATAACCACGATTCGGTACGTCGAAAGGTGCAAATCGGTAGATTTCTCGGCGCGGCTGTAGGGTTCGAAGCGAATAGTGACGGACCTGAGGTACAAGATTAGTTCGTGGTTTTTCAGAGTCAGATTATAGTAACTGATACTTGAGAGTAGAAAGGATTGTCATCATCAAGTTCTTAAATTCGCCGGAAAGAAAAGACCGCATATCGTGGGCCAGCTTTTTTAAGGATCCAGAAAATGTGAGGTTTTTGAAACGCCGATGGAGGAGGACTGATCGAAGACGCTTGGAAACAAGTGTAGCAACCATGAAATCGGAGGGGCTGACCTCTGCTCCAACCATGAGAATGATTTCAGCCGGCATCTTTTCCAACGCGCTCAAGGACGCGGGCGTGGCAGGATTGTTCTGCATAATAGCAGCATGTTCTTCTTGTTGTTCAGTTTCCATGGTTGCAACAAGAGCGATGTTCAGTTGCTCGGAAAGGAAGAAAGGGGAGATGAAGAATGCGGAAAAGAACGCGTAAAAGGATTTGAAGGAAATAGGAAACGGAGAAAGGTTTACTGGGGATTGTTTGGGAGAATTCTGGTGGTCAAGACAACAGTGAGGAGAGCTAGGGGAGAAGAGAGGCTCGCACTGCCAGTGTCGGTGCCAGCGCGAGCCAGTGTCAAACGACTTCAATTATTAGTGATCAAAATTAAGCTTTACCACTGGAAAATACAGTGAAAAAGAGGCGAGATCTTTTCTTCAGCCTGTGAGACTTACTCAAGTCGCTGGGACATGGAAACCAAAGTGCTCAACTCATAGGCTCAGCCACCCATTCCCATGCCGTGGTTTATTGACACAGCAGGCCACGCTTCCCAGTTGCGACTCATCGATTCCAAGGAGAATTACTATTCTGTTTGGCTATCTCAGGCTACCTATGCAAACATTTGCTGGCCATAGGGGTAGCCTTTAGGCTGCTACCACAGGTTATCGGAAGACAATATCTTCTTTGCAATACAAAGTTTAACCATGGGCTTCTCTGATGACTAGTTCTTTTTTACGTCAAATTAACTTCTCTGAGAACGTTGTTTTCATGCTTATCTCTCTTTTTAGTAGGGAAAAGAGTCAAAAACGGCCTGAGCAAAACTTGGGCCTCGTCAACATGGCTTCTTGCGAAAGTATCAAATTTTGGCCGACAGTGATTCATACAAAACTAAGAATTTTCACATTATCTCGACCATGCATTGTCTGATTTTCAGACACAGTTCTTAGTCCATACGCCCATTTTGCTTACGTTCCATCTCGACCACCCCAGGCGAGTATCCGCGAAGCCCCCTCCAAGTTGCATAATCCATTCTCCATCCCGTACACATCAAGCTTTTGTCGATGCATTTTGTCAAATGCACGTAAAGCATGAACCCGTAAACATTCCAATGCGCAAGTGTTGAACGGGTATCAAAGCAACACGCACACAGACTTGCAGCTGATCCTGCTTTCCTAAATCCACATCATTAGAGTAGAAACTTGAGGAATCTTTGAAGATCATACTTACTGTCATCAATCTTTGGTCCAAAATTATGTATCAAGAAGACAGGCCAGTCTTAGTTGAGGTCCAGTAAGAGGCTGGGAAAGCGTTTCTCCTCGCCTGGGTTCTCGCGCGATTCTCGCTGAACATGGATTTGACCCTCTCGTCTGATTCCTCGGTAGAAGGTTGGGTGGTTCGACGAGACACAGAGCTCCACGAGAGTGGGAACTCGAGTCATGATAACCGACACAAGCCTATCGATGTAGAAGTTGTCGCTGTCGACCATGGTCTTGGGGCGATATGTTCCTTTGTAGTCCTCCCAGTCATGTGGGATGAGGTGGCCATGCAGCCTCACAAACCATAGCGTGAAGGCAAAGCGGCGGAGGCAACGCATCCTGCTTACCTCATAAACCAGTCTATTGATGTTTCGGTCCTATTAGAATGGGTTAGCTGTGCTAGGTCTTAGAAGGTAGGACCCTTACGAAGGCAGCTTGATCGTCAAACCAGACCAGCCCGAACGGCCAAGATCTATAATCAAAATCGATAGTGAGACTGGGTGTATCTTCGTGAAGGATGAGTGACTCAAGTCGGGGGAAGTCCATTCTGACTTCACCAAGAAAGTCGTCATCGAGACTCGGAATTACGTTTCGGGCCTTCTGATTGTAGGCCGTTCTGTCAACGTGCAAGGCCTTAAGATATGCGGCATGAAGAGAGTGTCTTAACTTCACATAATGCTTTCGGTTAGGCCCTTCAGGCAGCTGAACGGCCCCGAGGGACTCGGGCTGGAAACAACGGAATATGGCATTGAAGTTCAAATCCACAGGACTATCCAAGAAAGTAAGAGAGCAGGGCTTGGTAGGGTCATCGGACCATATACCGGTCTTTCGTAAGGCCTTGTTGAATGAAACACAGTCCCGATGACGTGGGAAGCTTAGAGAAATGCTCACTCCACACAGTCGTTCTATTGAGCGAAGCAAAATGCCGAAATGCTCGAGGTCATTGTTCGCAAATCTCAAAGGCCAACGAATAACATCCGGCGGATAATAGATTCTGATGGTGACAAATCTAAATCTAGTCAGTACTCAAGCCTGGTATATAGTAGTTTGAGGTAATGGAGAGTCAAGATTTACTACCTGGTGAAGGTCTGGATCAGTTCTTTCATGTCTACCGAGACCTCGTCGGCATCTCGTGAGAAGATAGGTATCAAACATCTAGCTATGTGTTTCACAGAGCCCGAGAATTCGATCATCGTGTAATGCCGACGGAGAAAGATCTGCCGGAATCTGGTTGAAGTCCTGGTGAGGCCCCTGAGCTCGTCGTCGCGTAGGAAGGATCCGATGATCAACACGACTTCAGTGGGCAACGCTGGAAGCCCCGCAGTTGTGCGTTCCGGCATCTTGGTATGATATTCTTGTTTTACTTCGCGATGTTGTATGTGAGCCTGGGCAAGGTTGTTGGAGGAGGAAAAAGAGAGAGTTGTGAGCTAGATGAGCTATTTGTAGTTGAGACCCGTGGCTGAGAGCTATATTCACCACACAGGATTTAGGGGAAACAGAGAGTTTGAGATAAAGAAGTGATGAAGTACTCTAACAAACAAGAGTCTAGGCAGCGATCACGGTAACCAGAGCCCGATGCTTCAATTTACAATAGAGGCAAAGAGGAGATTGTTTGCATGTCAGCAAGGTGAAGGACCGAGAAAGGTGACTCGTGAGGGAGGTCTTAGTTTGGAAAAGCTTGGACGATGTAACAGGAATAGAGTGGCAAGCATTTGGTAGGTCATTCATGTTAAGTCATTCAATTCCAGCAAATGTAAGCTTCATAATATGCATGATAATGCGTGAGCTATATAGTGCTTTCTGGAAACCAGGAAGAACCTGAGTCCGTTAATGCCGATTATGAGACCACAATATGTTTTCTCGCATCATATCTTTCACTCGAAAGTCTCTACGATAGTCTGGCGCACAAGTAAACATAGCCTCTTGTATTTAAGTCTCTGCTCAATATATCTTAGTGGGAACTGCGCTGGTGCTGGTCAGGTGAGTAGAATCGGTGATGCCAGCCATGATGCACGAAGACAGAAACAAGCAATCGACTTGCTGCAAAACCGGCATTTTGTTTCTCAATGAGCTACGTAGAAATCGTCAGAGGACCAGCTACTACTGCTAAGCTACATGTCCTGGTGCCCTACTGGGTATGCAGTATCTTCGTACATTCCAATACTTCAGCTTCATCTTCTTGCGCCCTTTCACCTCGAAGCATCCATCTATCGTCAGTTCCCCAAACCATTCGGGAACGAGTGTTTTTGAGAAGTATCCTTGTGAGACTCTTCAGACATGTTCCACACGCCGTCTGTGAGAGTTGCTCGGTAGAACATGAGATGTCCATTTGAAATGCAAATCTCCTCGAGACCTTTCGCGTGGGCGGCAAAATAGGCAATCATCAGTTTGTATACACCCTCAACCCCGCGAACTTCAAAGGGTCCCAGAACTTTCTTGTCCATCATGGCCAGTAATTGCGTTGTGATGCAATTGATAGCAAAGTTGTCAGACTCCTCCAGAAGACCCATAGTGAATGCAAACCGACGGAGCCGCTGCAACTTAGCGAGGATTAACGCGCCTTTTGTGATCTCTTGGCACTTGGAGAGGTGTCAGTAATCGCGATAGAAGGGAGACCAGCGAATAACAAAAGGATACTCACCCAGCGGTTATGATATCTGTAATTCCTGTGGAAGCTGAGACCGGAAGGATATTCATCATAAATATTCAATGACTCCAGGCGAGGAAAGCTTTTGTTGATCTTGCTGGCAAGCCCACCATTCAAGCCTGGGAGGGTCGCATCACGTTCATAGATGCAAAAGTATTTGTCAAGGCGCAGTGAAGTGAGACTGGCCCCGTTTCGTGCAAGTTCGTCATACTCGTCTAGTGACATTCCCGGAGGTCCAGCAATTCCCTCAAGGGCCCCGGCTTTGAACTTTTCAACAATTCTGCCAAGGTCATAGAACTCGGGGAATTTCTTGAAATAAAGATGCTTAGGGCCATGCCAGTCTGGGCCCTTGCGAATGAGGCTGGTGAACTTGTGTGGTTCTTTGAGATATGGGAGGCATAGATCGAAAACAACTCCATGTAGATTAGGTGTATCCGCCAAAAAGCGCCCGACGGGTATGTTCTCGACTCCATAGCCTACAAGCCAAGCATTCATTTCGCGGGGGTTGTTGAAACTTTTTACTTCAAAAGTCACGAGCCTGTCACAGAAATAAGCGAAGAACTTGAATTGAAACCGCAAGGGAGGAAACTAACTTTGCTTGATGACGGGCCAAATGACGGAATGAAGCTGTCTTCCTCGTAAAGTAGGCGTTGAGGCTGTTTGTGAGTTCCTTCATATTACCGGAAAACTTGAGGTGCTTGCAGAGTTTTGGGAGAAGGATTTCGCGAAACTGGTTTGACACAAGCGTCCAGTCCTTGATCTCATGGACAGACATGTTGTCACCGATCATACAAATAATCTCGGTTGGCATGGTCGCGAGTTCGGGGGTCGTGGATGTTGCCGCCATGGTCGCGATGCTCTGCAAGGCACCACTTGGTAGAGCAGACAGGCGGATCAACGAAAGAATGTGGCGTTCGTGTAGTAGAGCTTGTGAAGCGAGAATAGCGATGAGCGCGAGGAAGGTTGACGCCGTGAAGCGTGCGCTACGGTGAAGGCTTGCTGTGAGTGAAGCGTGGTCTGTGTTGTGAGGCAAGAGAAGAAAACAAGATCAGAGGACAAAGCACAAGATCAAAAGCTGGAGAAGGGGAATAGAAAAGGGTTTGTGGCTATTGTGGCCCCCAGAGAGCGGCCACAGTGAGCCAGTGAATCATAGCCAACGCCTGCCACTGCAGAATTACACAACTTTATCCTGAATTGAGCCAATCAAACGTATTCAACAGCTCGAATCGAAAGTTGAGCCTCCCCGTCAAACCTAAACTGAACTGGTCCAATGATCCAACGTCACTCATCGGGTCCATATTATTGAGATGATAATCTAGCACGCGCTGTATCACAGTCTTGCAGCTCGCACAAAGATCGCCGTTTGGTGCTGATGGCTGGACCCAGTCTAAGAAACCAACAAGCAAACTTAGTTGCTGGACAATGCTTGATCGACTGAGGCGACTGTCTTTGGGGTGCTTGCCCTGGAATGTTGGACTGAGTAGTTCAAGGCAGAGAATGCCACCGCCTGGTACTGCAAAGGCCATCAACTAAGCAACATGTCAGAAGTTTCGGTAAATAAACAAAACAAACAACTTACCAGCCATTCCATATCCCGACGAATATCACGGAATCGATCCTTGTGCATCCAAAACATGAGAGTGAGCCTTATCATCTCATACGAAACTAAAAGGACATCTCCTTTATCCGGACACCCATATTGAAGGAGAAGCCTTTCCAGCAAAAACATGTTCTGTAGATGTGTGAGTCGGATGAATATTCTCAATGACACAACGTTTGCCTCGACTGGAGGTTCAGAAAGGTCTTTATCGTATGATCGTATTTCTGCTCTTGGAAGAGGAAGCTCGTTAGAGTCGTCGGGATCATAGACAAGGCACCGGGGAAGTTCGGCAAAGACATTCAGCTGACGCTGCTTGAGATTTCTGGCGAGGTTAGCGAGCCTTCATCGTTGCTGGGAGGAGTGGTTAATACCTAATTGTCTCAACAGTCGCATTGGAGCCAGAACCAAGACTGATATCAATAATTTCGTTCAGTATCTGAGCCATAAAGTAACCAGCTCGACAGATACTCGAAGGATAAACACCACCTCTCAAGTTCCAGCCACGGCTATCAAGCTCAGAGACGGCCCTCTCAAGCACAGCACCTCCAGCAAGAAGATCCTCGTCACTCAAGTCCAGTGGCGGTGGCGTCGAGCAAAAGCGCGGATTTATCAGCGGCGGCCTTCCAGTGAAAGCGACGATTGCTTTGTCAAGGTTGTAAACTCGACCGAAAAGGCGTCGTTTGTGTTCGGAGCTCAACGACGGTTTGTAGAGCCCAGTGAGCTTCTCAACGTGGACTCCGAGATAAGTCATTACGGAAACGGCATCCGCAAAGGAGCCCCAGCAAATAAGACCTATCGCATTCTGTAAGTGTTGGCTAGGTGCGGCATGAAAGTCGCAACTTACTGGCATCCCCGACAATCATCGACTCCATGATTGCCTTCTGAAACAGAAGATCCAATACGATGACATTTGCCAGAGTAAAGTACCGAGCCAAGTTGATGCTGTGCCTCAAGAACGCCAACACTGGTTTATTTGCCGTCCCACTTTCCAAGATATGAAGCTGGTTCTTTTCTATCGGCTCAAAGGATCCTGGTATGCGTCTTAAAACACTCCAGAGCAGCCCTATTGACTCCCATCGTATATTCGGTCCACAAAGTTGATTTATCCACTCTTCCGAACTGGTATCAATGTCTTGAAATGGCTGTGCCGTATTATTGCAAATTTGTTGCGCGATGAGCTCAAGATTGAGATTTCGCCGGTCTAGCTCCGCCCCAAACGTTGCTTCCAACGATTTGATAACAGCTGGTACCGTGAGGTTGGACCATAACCTGTTCTCATTCTTTGTGCCTTGTGAAATCATTTGTTCGTAAGAAGGCCCGAAGACGCAGCCGAGAAGCGCAAGACAGGACTGTCTTATTGACGGCGGGAGCTCTTGGAAACGTATTGTCTTGTTTGAATGAGAGCATGGGGTGCATGCTTCCTGGCAGTCGAGCTCGGATGAGTCAAGCTGTGAAAGGCAGTTTTTGGCTTCTTCAAAGATCTCATTGTGGCCTGCTCGACCAAAGAATGGTGGTGTTGGAACCGGAGTTTCCATGAGAAATTGTGTTATAAGACTTTCCAAAGCTTAAAGTAAGGCGTCTTCCCGTTGTCCACAGTTCTGAAGACGATATCATGCAAGGCTTGGAGTCATTCGCAGAAGATGATTGCCGCTCTGATGATTATCTTGAGCTCGATATGGCCGCTCCGTGCTAATTTGACTTAGCGAGTGACAGTTAAGATCGACTGTTATTGTTAAGGATACGATATTATCATTCTCTCCGGATTGGTGATCTGATGTCTATCAAATGCTGACGTGGGGCGAAGTCGGATCCTGCAACACGTAACTTGCATTTACACGCTATATGAACTTATTGAGTTTCGATGCTAAGCTCTCATCCATGCACCACCGTGAAACCGTTCTGGCTCAAAACCCTGTAATGCAATATTTCCTTCGCCCTTCTCAATTTCCCTGATCTCAGTGGACATTGAATCTGGGGGCGCTCGATCCAGCTTCCTCATCGATAAACTCCCACACAGCCGCTAATAGCAAAGCAGTACTTGACGGAGATCAAACGGTACCAAGGGGCCATTGTCTGCTCTCCACAAGGTCATGGAAACCGACGAGAGCTCTGACTTAGGGTCTTTAACCTGAGGGAGCGCAAAGTATAGGTTCGAAATCTCCCAAGAGGGGGATTTACGTTGACCATAAGAACCGCCGATCAAGTCATAGTGTTAAGTTGCCAAAGATTGAAATTTGAGCTTAAAGATGAGAGGAACATCGTCGAGAGCAGCATCTTGAGGAAGTTCGATGACGAACGACAGAAGTCTCACAAAGTCGGTTGCTCTAAATGAAAGTTGGCCGGTAGTGGCCTCAATTACGGGATCACATTTTCAACATGTAGTATTCGATTCTTGTCAATATATTGGCAAGAATTACATCCAAGTGCTGCGTCAATGATGGATGACATCTATCTTAGTAACGTCTCTCAAGTTCCTTTTTCTTCCTATCGGGTCGGGTAGGCCTTCATCTGGGTTGAATGTGGCGTTGTGTGGCTTGACAACCCACCTCCCCGGCTGTCGGGTTCCGATGAGCCACGGAAAAACGGAACCTCAACGGCCGGACCAATCTTGAACATTCAATCATCAACAACGACATCCGCGACTCTCAGCTAGAACATCCACAACGACCTGCTTGGCTCTATGAAAACGTGATGCCTGACATCGTATGAGCGCATTCTCATTTCCGATCATCCATTGTCGCGCGCAGCTCCATGTCAGGTCAAGAGACCTCTCCACAGTCTCCCCCCGCCAATACACCTAAGCATCGACGACCCTGGACAGCAGCCGAGGATGCGACTCTGAGGACTCTTGTTGGGCACTTTGGTGCTAGCAGAGGGTCTGAAGGTAGATGGAAGGACATAGCATCTGGCCTGGAGGGCCGGACAGCAAAGGTGAGTCGCCACCTCCGTACGCGCCTCAGCGCGATGATTGTGCTGCATGATGCGGTCTCACTGCCGAAGCAAGCGACTAGGGGAGATAGTGGCTGACTGGCTGTCTAGGATTGCCGAAAAAGATGGCTTCACTCACTGGATCCCTCTTTGCGTAAAGGTCGATGGACCTCTCAAGAGGATGAGATCCTCCTCTCAGCTTATGCTCGACTGGGGCCACTTTGGAATGAAATTGGTAAACTCGTCACTCCTCCGATCATTACATGGTCTAACGCATGCTAGCCCTTCTCATTCCTGGGCGGAAGGATGACCAGTGCTCCAAGAGATATAATGATATCTTGAACCCTTCTGCCAAAAACCGACTCAGCGACTGGACTGCCGAGGAAGATAACCTTCTACGTCAAGGTGTAGCGACATTGGGTCATCGTTGGGTGGCCATCTCAGCGAGAATACCTGGGAGGCCTCCTCTTACCTGCCGTAATCGATGGCGTACACTCTCACGGCTGTCACATAACCGTCAGAGTAGATCTCAAGGCACTACCCCGTCGTCTTCATCTCAGATGTCACCGTTCGACAATGGGATATCACCAGCACCCCACAACCCAAATCTCAGCATTGAGATGAACCATGGAGCGACTACTGACTTATTGCACTTTCCAATGGAAGGCGACATTGGTCATGATCAGATGGGATCCAGCTTTCTCGACTCGGCCTTTTTCGACACCTTCACAGGCCCTTCCCCATCGCCGTTGAGGGATTCCGATCCAAGCGATGAAACAGAAACTCCGAACGACGTATCTGCCCCAGTTGTTGCCCCAGCAAATGCTGTACCCGTTCCCGATCTATCTTCGACTATCGCTAGCCAGGGACAAAGCGACCCCAAACCATGGCCTCAGCCTCCAAAACTACCCCAAGCGCAGCAACATCAAAATACTACGAACGCATCTTTCATGCCATCGCCCTCTACCTGGTCATCACTGGGTACAATGCTGCCACCTGGTACCTCGCCCACGGATCAGAATATGTGGCTAGGAATGACGGGCAACCCACCAACACCGAAGAACTGGACAGCCCCAGGTCCCGCAGACGAATCGAATTCATTGCCTCAGACATTTACCGAGCAATTTCAGGTTCCGGCAGTACCAGCGTCTGCTCAACAGACAATTCACCACCACCATCATCACCATGTCCATCATCATTTCCATCATTATCATCACTACCCAGGCAATGGAGATCAATGGCGACAGCTGGAGCAGCAATCAGAAGCCGAGGCGATGCAAGCACATTTGCAAAACGAGAATGGGCCTCAGAACGCAGGGTGATGCGCTTAGCCTAACAGAATTCACCTCGTCCAGTCACGCTAGCACGTTGACCTGAATAAGCCGCCCGATCATCCAGATTAGCAATTATGACCGGGATACAATGTCATACAGAAAACTCCACTACACATGGACACTGATTACCATTCTGCCAGTCACTTTTTGTTATGACTTATTGTGGCTTCGGGAATTTTCTGGCCACAGCGACACTGGCGCGAACACCATTTCACAAGAGACGGTTTTAGAAGCTTTTCAATTAGTCAGATCGCGGGATGCTGATCGCCACTGGAATTCCCAAGAGCATCAGATGCGCTTATTGCTCTGCTGAATCTTTCGTGGCAGCAGTGTGCATGGACTACGCAAGAAGCGGTTCTGCCGACGAAAGCAGCTCTGTACTGCGGAACAATGCAACTACGTCTATCAAAAGTCAAGTTCGCATCTCACGTATGTAAGCCATGATCCAAACGGAAGCTGCGTCACGAATCTTCGGTGTCACAACGTTCTGTACAAATTCTAGAACTATCAAAGGGTTTCGCGTTCTACAGGAAGAATCCGACAAAGATATTTTGGCCAGAATAGCTTTGGGAACTTTAATCTTTCGCCATGCACCTGATCGGAGAGATTGTATATACGCCTACCTTGGTTTGGGCAGTAAGGCCTTGGCTGCTACACTATCTCCCGTGAGATGGTGCTCAAATACGTTGCACGCTCCTTTATTCAAGAGTCAAATAATGTTGGACCTTTGGTTCGAATTGCGGAGCATGCTGAAACACGATCAGCGACTTTGCCTTCCCGGTGCCTCGACTATGGATCGTCTTTTCCGGAGACCTATAAGAACTTGGATCCAGGATTTGGGTAGCTATACATGTATCATAGGTACCAAGCTGGGTACAGGAACAGACCAACCGGCAGGTTTTCGTTAATCGATTCGAGGTTCGAGCTGCGAGGCATTTGTCATCTGTAAGATCATCAAAGACGATAGGCCGATGTACAGCACCGATACAAAGGGCGAGAATATCTCGGCCTGCCAAGAGCAAGATCCTCACGCCTGACGTCGGTTGGTGCGAATTTATGCTTGAAATGTTGAGCGTTTTTTCCAAAAAGCCTCGAGATCACAGTTGATTTCGCACGAGAGCTGGCTTCGAGGCAATGATTAACTCTCTTGGGGATTTCAGATCTCAACCCTATGTCTTCCAAAATCAGAACTTGCATATGGAAGCGGGTTTATACAATAGTAGATATGCGAGTAGGGATATTTTATGTGTTTTGCTTGGGAGAGCATGCCATTCATACCAAGGCCGCTTGAACGTGGGCTCTTTGGTTATGTTTGACAGGCATTCGTTCATGATATCATGAATGGAGAGGCCCTTCAACAGGAACATGAAACGGAATGGATCACCTTTGTATGAGGGAGCTTTGAACCTGAGGCCATAGTACTTACGCCAGCAGTTTCTACTGTACTTCAACAGAATAATATGCATATGAATAAAATAAAACAAAATCAATCCTACAATATGTCTAGAGAAAGGCCTCACGTTGACTGGGGTAATGCTTTTACCACTTTCCCCTGCGTCTTACACACGGTCCCCTTCTACCAGGAGTGAACAGAAGACCCTGAAACAAGAGTGGCCAAGAAAAGTTATTCTTGCGTCAAGCAGGGCCAAGTCGTGAGACACTCTGCCGTGTTTCGGCCTTTGCTTTTGCCCCCCGTCTTCGCCTGCTGAGCGGTAATAGATGCGAGTATGCGGCGTTTTGAAACAATGACTTGGCTCACCGCTTCGCCAAATCCAGTTGAAAATCAAACTGTCAAATTACGAATGCTTGCTAATTTGGGCAAAACGGTAACTGTAATGTATCAGGCTTCAGCCTAAGAGAATCAATTAAGCTTGGGTTGATGTCGGACTTCAAAAAGAGAGAACAAAGTCACAAAACGTTCAAATTTAAGGCTGTACGAATTGAGAGAGATGCGATTAGATCTCATCTGAGACATATGCATGAAATATGACCTCGTTCAAGCTGCAGTCGGCCCTGAATGGGTATATCCTTCTCCACATGGATAAGACAGATCCGAATCAAGATCTGTTGGCTTTCAGAGCTTTTCGATATCGTTCTGTAAGATAAGTTCCAGTATCTCATTCCTATCAATTACTCATCAGGGTCTATCCCCGAATCTGATGCAGTAGGTTCCAGATGAAATTGCGATTTCGATCAAGGGTCCCTTTGTCTTAGCTGTGCGTCGATCAAGGTGATGAAATTCTGTTTTCGTAGAGTTCCAGACCGCTCTTGAGGAGAAGATAGTAGGCGCATGAAAATATGACATATTCTGAGTGGATGACCATTGATACCGGTGAGTGTAGCACGGCTCAAAGATCATACAAGGTTCAATAGTTGAAGTTAGAAGATGTCGAAATAGATACCGAGTGATGATCTGCGACTATAATATTACATGGCTCAACCCGTGTCTACCTCATCATTCTCGGCAAGAGATATTCTCCGCAATAAGTCTCTCCAAGTCAATGATAATCCAGTTTCCACACTGGAATTGACCTATAATGCGCTGTCCTGCAAGCCATGACAGCCACCCCCTCAGTAACGACGCGGCCTGCCCGGCAGATGCCCCCGCTTGTAGGCCTCATTGAGACCCTCAGCCAGCCTATACTACCAATTCGGTCCCTCTGCAGCACAATTCTACAATGCGAGTGTAGGCGGCGCTTTTAGTGTAGCTGGGCCGTGTTTGTTGATGCCGAAGAGCGCAATTAGGAGCTGTTGGCCCTAACTAATGAACGCTTCGGGCCGCAGCGATCCGTAAGGACTAACTAACATAGCTCGTTGTGACTAAACTCCGGGACACGGGATGGGGCGAGGGGCAATAAGACATGCAGACCGATTGACTCCCGAATACGATCGGTCATTCGAGATACCAGTTTATTAGGGCCGTGTTAGACACTTACTCAGACATGCTTCACATCGAAAATCTTTCTAAGATTAATGACTGACTGGGGGTACCAATGTTGGAGCATGATAAGACAGTCTTCTGTGAGAAGCATTTTTGTGGCGTAGCTGACCACTAAGCTAACGCTGTCATGAACAAGGGTTCAGCTCAGCTGCAGCTCAGTTGCAAATCTTCTCCTGTTACAGAGACCGTGTTTTGCCAATGAGGGGTTGTAGCTTGCAGTATGGACCGCTAGCTAAGCCGCAACTCGAAACTAGCAAAACCATGCAGTAGACGGTTGCTGTATGTGACGACAATTGGCTACAGAGGGGATGTCAGCTTGCAACATACCTTGAACATGCATTCCAATGGAAGAGGCTGCTCACGATCAGCAATGTAGTGTCTTGTACATGAGAAGAAAGACAGAAGAGAAGCATGTGGTATGAGATGGAAGAGAGTGAGAATATGTATAAAAGATCAACCTGCACTTCGAGACGATGCTTCTCATTCACTCCACCATCACTCACTCCCTCTACAACACAACACAATCACCCTTCAACCCAATAACACCTATTTAACATGTTTGTTTACCAAGGAAAGATGAACTGGTGGACGTACGCCAAGGACGAGACCTTCGTCGTCGTTCTCCCCAACGGCCCAGTCCGCGTCGGCGACAGCGTCTATCTCTTCTGGAAATGGACAGTCGATGCTAAAGGCGTCAAGAACGGCAACGTCTTCCAGACCATCAGCGTCGACTCAGTCACACAGACCAGTGCCACTGATGTGACCTTTGTCCTCAAGGGCTCCTGGTACAGTTTCACCGTCACCACAAAGGGCGGTTATGAGAACATCAGCATCGTCATGAGAAACCCCCAGGGCGGTGTCGGCGACCCCATGCCTCTCAAGCGCGAGTGGAAGTCTGAACAGGAGCTCACTGGCACTACGCGCATTTGGACTGGAAAGTTCAAGTGGATGAGCTTTGCGAAGGATGAGCAGGCCATCTTCATTGTTCCTGATGGCTTTGGTGAGGGCAAGCCTATTATCTCAACTTGGCAGTGGACAAAGGCTTCCAACGGCAAGACGAAGGAGCCGTCGTTCCGTGCTGAGGTCCAGAAGAATGTTACTGGGCTTGGAACTGATACTGTCAAGTTCTCGTACAAGTCTTACTATGATATCAAGTGCACTTGGGATGGCAAGAAGGATCAGCTTGATGTTTGGGTAACAGAGGGTGCCCACAGTGAGGATGTTGGTGACATGATACGCTCTGCCATCATTGAGCGCTCAACTCACTCTCAGTATGTCTCCAACTCAGCATATGAAACTTTTGCTAACTTTGCAACAGTGACTTCAACCCTCCTTTCCCTCCTCCCACCAAGAGCGAGTGTGACCATTATCTCCCCCAGCCCCAAGCTTCGCTCCCTCGTCTCGTGTGTCCTCTTCCATTTCCCAAGGACCTTCTTGAGACTCTCGCACACACGGCTGCATACGTCGACCAGTGCGGTTACCTAGCCAAGTATGCTCAGGATGTACGTTTGACTCTTTCCTTCATCTTTCGACACCTGCTCACATTTTCTTAGCGCTTTGCCGCCCTCGATGCCGATTACCACTTCTCCCTTGAGCAGATCAAGGCTCTTAAGATTGAGATTGAGAACATCAACAAGACCAAGGGCGACCTCACCACTGACCGCGATGCCGCCATCGCCAAGGCTCAGAAGCTTCAAGAGGCTCTAGACAAGGCTCTGAAGGGCGGTGAAGGCTTCCAGAAGGAGATTAACCGACTCAACAAGGTCATCTCTGATGACAAGCTCAAGGATGCCGAGGCTCTCAAGGTCCTTGAGAAGACTCGCGCCGATCTCGAGGCCTCCCAACAGCAGTGCTCCAAGCTTCAGGCCGAGGTTGCCCAAAAGGATGCTCAGATCGCGGAGCAGGGCGCCACCATCAGCAACCTCCAGAAGATCATCATCACTCTCGAGACTACCATCTCGCAGCTCCGTGCCGAGGTTACAGTCAAGACCACCGAGAACGAGAAGCTTGCCAAGGCCAACGTTACCCTCGAGGGACAAAAGAAGGATCTCGAAGGCTCCGTCAAGGATCTTCAGGATGAACTTGCTCGTGCGCAGCAGAGGATCAAGGATCTGCAGGAAACGGCTAAGAGCCACGCGGCGAAGGATAAGGAGATCCGTGATGCGAAGGCTCGTGCAGATACTGAGGCCGCAAAGTCGGAGGAGGAGGCTGCCAACGCACGGGCTGAGGTTGAGAAGTATAAGCAGTGGGCTTTCGATAACAAGGTTAAGATCGATCTCTCCAGCTACTGATGCCAGGTATTCCCGCCGTTGCATCTGTTTCCGGTGGGACTCTCGTGTCATAGGGTGTTGAGATATTGTTGGGTGGTAGGTGCCATCTGCTTGGCGGCTTGGGAGCTGAAAAGGAGATGGGGTGTGGAGAGGACTGTTTAGCTACTGAGTAGTCCAGATATCTAAAATTAATACATTCCCTTTGTTACTAACTTTGATTGAACCTCGACTTCAGTGCTATTCTATATTGAGTGATGTATAGATGGATGGTTTAACGTGACAGCTATGACCAGGCTCGAGCAGACCTACAGAAAATATTGGCCATGACAGAATTGGTACGGTGTTGCAGTTGATTCGTTGTATCCATTAAACTCTATACGTTCTAAAGAAAAGAAATGCTATCCCTGAATGAAAGCCAACCCAACAAACATGTGCTCCCAAAATACCAAATCCAACTCAAGCTTGACAGTTTATCTTTGAACGTTCTCCTCCATCACAGGCGCATCTGGACCCTCTGCTCGACACTTCTCAGCATCCATCTCCTTCTTGTGCTTCTTGCCAAGGAAAGGGAAGAAGAAGTAAGGATGGAAGATTGTCAGTGTCCATACGGCAATGAGAATCATGGCTCCGTCGAGAATCAGGAAGGTTGTCTCGTTTTGCATGAGAGAGCTGCCCCAGCCCATCTGCATTTCGGGGATACTAGACAATATTAGTACGAAGAATAAAGGGCATATCCGAAAGAGGCTTACCGGTAGATGCAACGGATGATAATGGCGATGTAAGCAACGGTCAAGGCATAGACAAAGATCTTGGTCTTCTTGTCACTTGCTCTGATGACCTTGACATTTCCGTTGGTAGACGATTCACTCTCCGTGGCAGTCTCATCACCAGCCCTGACAGCAGCACCATTCTTGATGGCTTTGTGTCTCCTCCAGATATAAACCATCATCAGGCCACCACAGAAGATCATGTTGGCCATCTGGAAGACAACACCGGCAACAAGAAGACCCGATCCTACATCAAGCATGCCCTGGTCATTGTTGTCTCCATTAGTGGCAGCCGACGAAACACCGCCGCCAGCAGCTTGGATCACAATAGAGAAGAAATCGGTACCGACGAAAACCCAGGGATACAAAACAGGCTTGATGAAACTGTACTCTCGACCGTACCATAACACAAGATGTTTGAAGGTGATCGAGATAGCAGCGGCGACTAGTGTCGGGCCGAGGATGAGAAGAACGAGTTGGATGACGAAGGCGTTGTATACCCATGGGTTTGAACTCATGACGATACGACCACTATAGCCGATGAGTTCAAATATCGTTCCGATCGCAAGCCACAGCGTGTACGACCATGTTCGCGCCTTGATACCGAAGTACAGTTGGGGTATAAGCGCCAGCGCGTGCGCCACGACGAAGAAAACACAGGCGCCTAGCGTAAAAGTGTCACCGTACAGGGACAACTCAGCAGGACATCGTTCGGAGATTCCATCAGAGCAGGTTTCGTAAGTCGGCGGAGGATAGTTTGTGCCGTTGTAGGACATTTTGACGATCTGGGGAGCAACTTTGAAGGAACCACTTTGTTTTTGTTATCTTGGAGGGCGAGTCGGATATAAAAACATGGTGATTTCTGGGGCATGGTCTCCGTGGGGCAGCCCATGGAGAATATTCCGCAGAGATTTACGGGGAGGAATGGGATTGTGGATTTGATTACAGGGCGCAGTTGGACAGCCAAGACATAGGCATAAGCGAGGTGCAAATCGTTGGCTTGGCGTTTGACTCTTCGATTCATGAGTCTCTCTTCATATCAAGATGATACTCTTCAGATAAGACCAATTAGCTTGTCAGTGCACATGATAGCTTAACTCTAAATAAGCATTAAAGTTAAGAACTTGCACGAATATAAAGAATGACCTCGATCAAGCTCAATATCATTATAAACGCGTAAATCTTGGCATCGTCAGCACGGGCTAAACGACGCGTAGATAACTTGATAAGCTCGCATTCCCGAAAGGCCCGATTGGCCCGTCTATCTTCAACAGCTCGCTTTTCTCGTTCCCCTCGCTTTTCTCGCAACGACATGCAGGCCTAAGATTACTCGTCGTTTGAGGTCTTGGGTATCCACATGTAAGAGATCAGAGGTTTCATTCTGAAGTTATCCCGTCTTTCCGGTCCAGACGTGACGGGCTACAGGTTTTAAGCTCAAATAAGTCTGATCAAAGGTAACAGTTTAGGCTATGTGTAAATACCAAAACCATCTATCTGTTATTACATGCCGATAGCCATTTCCTCAACCTTTCAGCATCTCTTCTACAGCTGTTGAGCCACTAGTATGACCGCCACCGTCGATATCCAAGCAAAACAAAGCTTCGTCCCCGTCATGTAGGGTAACCCTAACACGGTTAACTTCTTGAGGTGTTCTTTCACAGTGCCACTAATATTATTCATGTCTGTGAGCCTCATAACTCTAAACAGTCTGCCTATGCTCAGTTCAAGGAGTACGATGCCAATGCTGTTGCTGTAGAGGTTGTGGTTAATGGTATATCGTGACTGGGATGCCATGAATGGAGCCTTATTAGCTACCTGCAGTGATCTAGGGTATCCGTCCCGCACAATTTAATCAGAGATGTTCTAGCCCCATTCTACATTACCCTGGCTATCGCTGGCTCCTCTGTCGTTCCGCCATGTCTCAGAGCCACACGAAAAAGGCTTATCAACGACTTTAAGAAACTGTTTTTGCATTCGCTGGAGACAAAGATTTCTTTACAAACATGACAATGTTGGATGTTTGGCTAGATTGTGCACATGCATGGCAGCTGACGTGATCTTCCTCGGAAGCTCGAAGCGCTGTTCGAGTGCATACTTTGGTCGGATGAGCTCAACCTGACCTGCGTTGCTGGGAGCTGAGCGTGTGATCATAATGAGATCAACAAACGTTGTAATTCTCGTTGCGTCGTCTGGAATAACTGCCAACTTGGGCACCTGGTATAAGAAAGCGAAGGCGCTGCGACTTGGCCGATGAAAACGAGTCTGCAGCCTGATAGCAAGTAAGCCGAACCGAGTGTAATACTTTTCAGTCCACTAACTGCAGCGCGTTGAATATGGGTGCAAAGTCCCGCAGGAGAAGTTACATGGCGCTTTAGGGTGAGGACCAGTGAACCGATGCCGCGACCCTCCATCTCGGCTTCGCGAAGTTGGAGATACCAAGGGTCAGGGTTGTACAACCGACTATTACACTTAGAGCTTCTATTTTAATGATGATGTTTGGAGCGATGACTATGAAAGAAGTGTTGTTGGGAGATAGTTCTCTATCCAGGTGTCGCCATTGCCAGCCTTACGGACAACGTCTGTCCTAATTGATGGGGTGAAACCGTGGAAGCGACTTGTCACATCGGGTTGAGCCGAAGTGCATACCAAGTGTACCACCACTTCCGCATCATTTCGGAGCCTAAACTCGTTTGAGATGGGCTTTGGATCTCAGTGTCTTTCACTCAGTCTGATTGGAGAAGTGGAAATACGTCTTGCGGCTTTCAACACCATTCTCCTTTCACTTTAGTGATCCTGGCTAGGAGACGGACCCAGTTGCCAACTATGCCGAATTGGCTCGTGCTCGAGTAAAGTAACTGCTGAGGCGCCAGACCCTGTTCCTATTGAGGACTTGTCGACTTTTGCCAACAACTCCATATAACTGGTCTGCCGATCTGCAACTGCTACGTGACCAAGTAACACATCGGGCCGACAAAGCCGTTATTCTTCGGTGACAAAAAGACCGTTGGAGAAAGGGACCAAGTCCACAGCCGTCTTCCAATCACCAACTCTCTCGGCGTCCGGAAGGAAAGCTCCCGATCTCCTTGATAATACTGTAGTAATACAGTCTATCTGTAACAGGCAGCTAGGTGAAACTTAAGGTTCAGTAGTAGCGCTATGCGGAGTGGCTTCTGACAGGAAACCTAACTGGTGAGTGATCCTAGCTAGTCTTTGTTAGACTGTATAGACTGTTGATCTCCTCCCACTTCCCGTAGATACCAGTAAGGCTACCCACCTATCGAGGATTCCCCGGTCTGCTGTTGCTATCTATAATTTGGGTGGCGAATCGGAATCGACATGTATGTGATGACTGTGGGATGTACGCCACTACCAATCCCCAGACGCCCCAATGAAACGAAATATCAAACGAAACAAATCAGGGGCTGCTGTCAAGCCCAAACTTTATATGGCATGAGCTTTTTGGACCATGAATAGACTTCTTCTAGATCACCTCCAAGAAGGCAACACTACAGCATCGACAGTTCCCGAGACACCTCGTCATTATCAAGACCGGAGGTACTGATCCATGCCAGTCTTGCAGCACACATCAAAGCAAAACCATATCCATTCCGCTCTAGGTTGCGAAATGCAATTATAAAAGGTCGACACCATTCCAGAAATATTCTAGCCAACAACCCCGGCTCTCACTGTCGCGGTCCACCCAATGGTGATGCTGATCCGGCAGCTCTACCCTTCACTAGCGCGTACGCGAACGGCGATCAGACCGTCTAATAATACGACCTAGGCGGCTCGAAATAGGACCTGAGAGCAGCTATCGTGTAGGAAATTGTCTCAGCGCCCAATCATATCGCCACATACGTCATGTTTCGGGGTACAAATCAGCCCGACCGCGAAGAACCCAGTATGAATCCGAGTATAAGAGCTTAAATCAGCAGACAGAACTTAGTATCCGAGTATTCGCCTCCTCATCTGCTCGGTAGCAGCTCGGGTAATGCTTCTAAAGTCTTAGATCAACGTCTTTCTCCTTTGATGACGTCTTTATCACTGTGAGGGATATTTGGAGTAGTTTATAGGCCGGAATTATCGCTGTAGGCATGCTTCTGTTGATCGCTCTGCCCCTTTCTCGTAAGGTTGTCGGCCAAGCCTTGAAGATCAAAAGGACCACCGCGGTTTTGGGCAACGTTACTTACAGGAATTGCCTCACAGCGACCCATTTATGCCCAAGTTGCTCGAATGGTGAGCTCCATAGGGGCAAGTCTGTCAATCCATGCTCTGTTAGCCGTTGCATGTGCCTGGATCCATTGTGACGCCGGTTTCAACGGCTCGAAACACTCCACTTGATCTGTTCTGGGGGCGGGACGTTGTGGGTGCAATCGGAATGTTCTCTTCGAAATGCCGAGTTTAGCTGACGCCACCAAGAATGCCAATTTCACTAGGAATACCAATATCTTGGAATAGGTAAATAGGGGATACGGGGTATTTACTCTATTCTCCCGCTGCCCGCTCTGCCGTTGTCGTTAAGCACAATCTATTGTCAAACTACCGCATCATGTTTCCAGTCCGACAAGCATTCCCTGAACAGCTGTCTTCCAACATGGACTACCATGCTTTATTACATACCCAGATTTATGAATACTTTCTCTCATCTGGGATGTATAGTTGTGGACAAGCTCTTCTTAACTCCGATTATAACCTGCGGCACCAAGTCATGCATGCTGCGGCTCAGCGATGCACTACCGAGCCGTGTAACGCCACACCATCTCTGCTAGACTCGGGTTTTGGTAGCTCATACTCGTCACCATACGAGGAGCCAAGTCTCACAGGTCTAGATGATCTATCGAGACCAGAAACCGAGCCTGCATTTCTATACCCGTGGTTCTGTACCTTTTGGGACACACTGAATTTCACCCAAGCCCAAGCTACGGGTATTCCGGCACAGGACTGCTTGAGCTACCCATCAGATCTGCCTCAACATCCTGTCGAGTCTGAGCCATCGATATATCAAGACTCCTTTAGTCTTGAGTCGGTACGTCCAAAATTAACCTTGTTGGCCGATCCAAACCCTTTCTAATGTAATCTTGAAGGGTATAGATGTTATTGAGTCTTTACCTTCTGAAGTAGACAGCTTTACATTACAATGCACCAGTTGGACACCGAATACCCCGCAGAGCGATACAGCATCGACAACGTCGAGAAAAAGAAAGGCAAAGGATACGGGGTTATTGACTTTTCGAAATGTTCTGGGGGATTTGATACAGCATAACGAGGGAATACTGAAAGATCTCCAGTTGCAGGAGAGAAAAAATACCGCGAGGCGTGGTTCAAAGCGGTCTGAACCTTAGACTTGGAAGAACAACAAATAGAGAAATCTAGCACAACAGGATAGAGCTTGATACATCAAGCATTTGTAAATGCCATTGCCACAATACAAACCAGTTCGCGTTTTCGTCAGACCCATGATGTAGGGCAAGCTGTTGGTTTCTATCCCTCCGCCGTTCCTTTGTTGATCTGAGCTCAAAACACGAGAACTCTGTTGGGACTGCCACAGCAAATTGACCATTTCTGCCTACCTCCTCACAATCCATTCCATTGAACGAGTGCATCATTCTGGCTAGCAACGAAGGTGTATACAGCATGACCCGATGAAATAAGCACAATTGTGGTTTGCAAAGGCAGCATTCACGCCACTGATGTCTCTGGAAGTGGTTTCTAGCATACTTAGGGAAAGTCGCAACAGAAATGTAACTTGAGAACACGCTGAGAACGCACCTATTTGCCAGGGAACGGGATGCTCGACTGTTGGTCAGCTTGAATCGATAGGCGCAGGCATTGCCTCACCAAACCCCCACAGCGTCTTGACTTGGAGGGCAGCTATTCACACAATTGTGGTAAGCAGCAGAGGCCAAAGCACTAATCGAACCCGGTAGCTGATTGGTCTGACTGACCGACTGACCGAGACTCGGTGAGATCAACAGCCAGCTCACACCTCATTCCTTGTCAGAGCTGTGGTGACAGGTTGGGTTGTTCCCTGTTCGAGACGGCCCTGGCGCCTGGGTAGGGCCACGGAAGACTGCAACCCCTCCCAAGGGTCAAAGGGTAGTGAAGGAACATCCTATTCATGAAAATTGAGGAAAAGCTTCTGACCAGAAAGAAAGTTTCCTCTTTGGGTACTGGTAAGAGCTTCAAGAAGAAGTAAAGCAAATGGCAGAGAATGAAGATCACAGTGTCGAGTTGGGCAGGGGTTTTGCCTCACCCAGGACGACAGCATCCTATCATCCTCAGGGTCCTGTAAACACGAATTGTTTCCATGATTGCTGATAAGGAAGCAATCAGTCGTGCTAATCGATAAGGTTAAAGTCCTTATCCTTATCGATTACTGGCCAGATATCGGGATCTGCTGCAACCGGCCGGCCCGGTCGCGAGTCTGAGCTATTGCTCTTAAGGCCTAGCAGACTGAATCCGAAAAAACACCGACAATGATTGATCCGGACCGGTAATACTATAATCCCGTTCTAGAAGACACAAGAACACACCAAATCCGAATGCCGAACGCCGGGACTCAATATCCGCATTATCTCAGAGCCTCATTGAGCTTAAACATCAACAACAAGAGTCGGCATTACCGGATGACGTACAAAAGATATGTGTCCATTTCGCTTGAAAATTCTCTCTTTATTGGTTATAAGATGCGGCTCTGTTCACCGTGATGAGGCGTATTTTTGTGGTTAAGTGTATGATTCAGCTATCAGGCATGAAGGATCATGGCGACCAATTCTAACTCATCACAGAACACCAGTGACGACAACCTCCCACAAAAAGAATTCGCATTCGTTGAACATGAGAGCAACAAGAAAGAACTTCGAAGTCATGCTATGCGGGAGCATTGGAAGAATAGACGGCAAACGATGAACGAGGAGAAGCAAAAAAGACAGAAGCGCACTCAGCATACGCTATTGCCGACTCCGAGGACGCAATCAACAATGTCTGATGAGAACTCCGAGTCCTCCAGCTCAGTACTTAACAGCAATGTCTCCTCAGTCACAGCATTGATACCTAACAGCGAACGTCAACCAGATCTGGAGGGCATTCCATCTCAAATACTTTCAGGGGTGAATCTGGTGTTTGGGTCGAGCAGGCTTGACCCTTTCGAGCAACTGCCTATGAAGCTGTCGGTCACACACCACAAGCTTCTCCATCACTGTGAGTCTCATCAACCCAACAAAGCAGACAAGTGCTTATCGTCAACAGGGTTTAGTGCTCACGCCGCCATGATGTTTGGGCCTTCCCCGGATGGGGCCTTCAGTCCCATGCGCGATGTATGGCTGCCCCTTGACCTGTCTAACCCAGCATCGTTCAATGCACTCATGGCGCTTTCAGCTGCGCATCTTTCTTGGATGCAGGGTTTCAGTCAATCAGAAGTAGCTCTGGAGTTCAAGAGCGAAGCGGTGAGGATCGTTCAGCTTTGGATGCAGGACCCGGAACGTGCAGTGTCGGATGATGTCTTGGCTGCTATCATACGTCTTCTCACCTACGAGGTATGTCTAACTGTCTCTTCACTTGCATCTGAAATACTAATGGCAGGAGGTTTAGAGGTACTGGGGGACCGAGGCTGAGTGGATCATCCATCACAAAGGGCTCATGAACCTGGTTGAAGCTCGCGGCGGGGTAGCGAAACTCAGCAGTAACTGGAGGCTTGAGCTAACGACCTTCCTGTGGGCCCCTCATTTCTCCTGTCCTTTGTTGAGATGCTAATATCGCCAGGGTTTCGTTGATGGCAAGGCCGACTTGGTTCGATTGTTCCAATCAAATCCAAGATCTGCTCACTCATACATCGGAGCTCCCATTACATCCCATCCTAAGAAAAGAAAGCGACCTACGAAAACTTCGGAGTCTATGGCTAGTTTCGTTCATCCAAGACATTGGCACATTCCGAACGAACCTCCTGAGGACCACCCCGGTGCATTACTCGGCGCTTCACGAAGCCATCTTACTACTCAAGGCTCACCGCCAAGATCATGAGTTGGATACTGGCCGTCCGGAGCTCTGTAGCGACTTGGAATTCACCCGACTTGCTTGCTTGCTGTTCATCTGCGTTCTTTTGCAAAAATCACCATTCGAATCCCCCCACGACACTGGAACCTACCAAGATGGGGACTGGAGCTTTCAAAGGCTGGATAATTTGAATCTCCTCAACTTCTGCCTCGAGGCAAACCACCCGTCTTGGCATGACTCTCTCGAAAACCTGAACAGTATTCTGTTCTTCCACTTCACTGCCTCGGAAGAAATGGGTTTAGACCCAGATTACGTTCGGAACATAACAACAGTCCTTGGTTCTTTAAGTGGTGGCGCTCGATATGCTGTGGAGCGATGTCTTCTTGAGACGTTATGCCGAGCAAGTGGCGGTGAACAGAACCTCTTCGAGGAGAAGTTCACCCCTGATATCCTATTGTCGATGATATCTGGGAAGTGAAGATCCCTGGACGGATTCATTTGCCCTCTGCTGGACTCACATGTTCGAGCTTCGTGTACTGTTTCGGGGTCGAACAGGCAGGGTCGATCATGATTCAAATCGTTCAGTTAGCTATTGAATGCGAAACGCTGCTGACCGGCTTCAAATTACCCCAGTTTATTCAGTATATGATCAATGACACACTTTTACAACTCACATCCGGCACGAAACTTTTGACAGAACAAGGCTGAGAATGCTCAAGCATGGTAGACTTTGTGCAAGAGATATGTAATATCATGACATCGGCTGTGACAGACGGGTTTTCTGAGGCTCACTGCTTCACGCGATACAAAATCAAGCTCCTCCTAGCTGAATAAAATCCAGTGTTAGGGCCAGATACTAATGCATAAACGCGTAGCTGGGCCGCCCCTAGTTGAGACATTCTGTGTCTTCAAGCCCCTGGATAGCTCGCTTGCCGGATTTGGTAGCACTACTCAGCCAATGATCTACCCGCATACTTTGACCAAATCTGAGAACAGCATGTGATCACAGGGTTGAGCTTCTCACGGGTTATTGAGTAAGCTGTTGAAGATGGCTGCAGACGCTCGAAATGATTTAAGACCGAGAGATTTTGTTGAGAAGTTGATAAATCCACAATTTATCTTGGAGCTGCACATGGCTTGGGATAACTTGACGGTTGAATCTCAGTCCATGAATGAATGAACGGCCTGGATTTTAGTAGTCTTAGTGGAAGGATTTATGCCTTGGGTATATTTATATATCACTTGCTATGTACGTAACTTATGTGGAATGAAGCTTGAATCCCGTGTCCACTGAATAGACATACCAGCTCCTGATCACCTCCAGTTAGCCAACAATATTGCGATTATGAATGACGCTCAACATATCCTGAGAGTTCGAAGGGCCAATTCCCGAATCGTTGTCAATTAACGGGGATTTCGGAATCTATTGGCCTGGTATGTCTTTGAAACGTCTCCCGTTAGCTTTGTTGATCGATCAGCCTACCATCCGCTTTTTTCACTGTATAAATAGCCAAGTTGCCATCTCATGGAGACCTGCCTGACACTTTGAAAATGAGTCAGAATCAATGGAGCGGTTGGTGAAAGGTACTCTCAACCTCGAATTGAGAACTAGCGGGTTTGCACTACAGAAATGCCAAACAAGAAGTCATATTTGCGTCAAACCGTCCAATCAATCGTGTCCTCATTACGTGTCAAGTTCATACAACGCATTTGTATAAAAAGAATCACTCAGAAGTAGCTAGTGGCATCCAGGATGTTCTGCGGCTTACGTCTAATTGAACAAGTAGTCTTACCTAAGGAAGTAGTTAGAGGAACCGGCATTCGGAATCCGGTGATGGCTGGTGATCATTTCCAGTCCTGATGGGCGAGAGATCTACGGACTTGCATTAGCTCAAGCCACACACGGCGATATCAAGGGACACGCAAGGTGTTAGGTCGGCATCACTAACAGGACTGAGAATACTTTGGAAGACAATGTTCAGCTGCGAAAGCCAAAAGCTTGACTATATTCGGCATTAACCTGAGGGCTGTCACTCGTGTATTATAAGCATAGTTTTGACAGAAATACTAAAGAGTTAACATGCGCTTGATGTGCCTACCAGCGTCGCTAGTATTTATGGTTTGGACATTCAAAGCTCATCTGGTATCACGAGTGAGGACATCCAGACATGTTGAAGCCCGGACGTCATGTTATCAGAAAGATGGCGCTCATCAGTAGGCCTGCCTACATACTCGTGAGGTCAGAGAAGATTCTAGTTGCTTCAACCTTGCGATAGTCATAGTTCGGTTGCGCTGTCATCTATATAAACTTACTTTTCTGGTAGTCATTGTGCATGCCTGTAGTTTGTGACTTGAGTCAGCTCAACTGATCCGAAAGATCCGACGATATCTTATCTGCGACTAGTACCCAGGTTGAGGTTGGGGTAACGAGAACCCAAACAGGGGTTACAATTAGGGCTGATAGTCATCGTTGGCGCAATCAAGACAGTGGCTCATTGGGTACGAGTTCAATCAAGGTTCAAGTGCCCCGTAGGTTGAGTTTTGGCAAGACTATTCCGCCAATCGCATACATTATCTTCAATACCAATTGCCATGTCTTCATGTCAGGCAACATAGGAGAGCGCAGAGAATAATGTAGTTATCCGAACATATAAGGACTGACGTCTCGCCTTGTAGTTTCCAGCATCAGCACAATTAAATTCAACTTCATATCACTATACATCCTCTTACATTCTAATAATCAGTCATGGCTGTCACGAACGGTGCTTATTTCGACTTCATCATCGTCGGAGGCGGTACAGCCGGCAACATAGTCGCCGCCCGCCTCGCCGAGAACCCAAATGCCCGAATCCTTGTCGTCGAGGCAGTTATTGGAACCTCCAAAGATAACGAAGAGATCCGCACCCCAGGACTCGCCATGGACATTCGAGGCAGCAAATACGACTGGGCCTACAAAACAACAATGATCAAACGCGACGAACATGAACGTATCGAGAAGCCTAATACTCGCGGCAAGGCCCTTGGCGGTAGTTCGTCACTCAACTATTTCTCCTGGGTGCCTGGCTCCAAGGGAACATTTGACATGTGGGAGGAGTACGGTGGAAAGGAATGGACTTGGGAACCGCTTATTCCTTATCTGAGAAAGAGTGTGACTTACCATGATGACGCTGGGTTATATCCCCCAGAACTCAAGAAGATTGGCGCAGGAGGACCGATTCCTATTGCTCATGCAGAGCTCATGCCTGAGATGAAACCATTCCGAGATCTTCTTACCAAGGCTTGGAAATCTACTGGAGAGCCTGTATCTGAGAATATCTTTGACGGGACAATGCGTGGTTTGGTTCATAGCTTCAACACGATCTATAAAGGCAGACGATCAGGCAGCTTCCTTGCGGTTGCGGACAAGCCGAACATCACTGTCTTTCCTGAGGTTCACTCAAGCGTCTTATCATCGACCAAGCGGACCGTACTGCCAAAGGTGTGACTGTTATCACAGCCTCTGGAGAAGAGCTTGACCTTTATGCTACGCGTGAGGTCATCGTATCTCAGGGCGTGTTTGAGTTCCCAAAGCTCCTTATGCTCAGCGGCATCGGGCCAAAGGCCGAGTTAGCCAAGCACAACATACCCTTGCTCGTCGACTCGCCTCATGTCGGCCAGCATCTTTTAGATCATCCAGGTGTCCCTTTCGTCCTCAAGGTCAAGGACAGCTACTCTATGGACAGCCATGTCCTCCGCAAGGGGGCTCTCCAAGACAAGGTCATGTCAGCTTATGCCAACGGCCATGCAGGACCGATGGGATCACCTTTTCTCGAGATGATTGGATTCCCTAGAATCGATTCATACCTCGAAAAGTCTCCCGAATACCGTGCCGCAAAGGCTGCTAATGATGGTCTGGATCCTTTCTGTCCTTATGGCCAGCCTCTCTTCGAGCTTGATTTTATTCCTCTCTTTGGCAGTGCTTTCCAATGGCACTTCCCTCATCCTAACAAGGGTAGTTACATGACAGTTATGGTCGATCTCGTCCGTCCAGTCTCAGAGGGCGGTGAAGTCACTCTCAACAGTGCTGATCCCTTGCAACAAGCTAATATCAACCTGAACTACTTCAACAACGACCTCGACATCATCGCCATGCGCGAAGGAATCAGGTTCTCTTACGATGTGCTCAAGAACGGGGAGGGGTTCGAGGACGTAGTTGAGGACGAATACCCTTGGGACATGCCACTTCACGATGACGAGGCTATGAAGAGAACAGTTCTGGATCGGTCACAGACTTCATTCCATCCTTGTGGAACTGCTCGTCTCGCTAAGAGCATTGAACAGGGCGTGGTGAGCCCGAGTCTGCAGGTGTATGGGATTAAGAATCTTCGTGTTATTGATGCTTCTGTCATTCCTGTTATTCCGGATTGTCGTATTCAAAACTCGGTCTATATGGTGGCTGAAAAGGGCGCTGATGCGATCAAGCAAGATCACACGGATCTGTACCATTGATAGGAATTTGGGGTCTATAACCTTAGTAACCATCACGATCTGATATAATTGCTCGCCAAGTCCCCATGTCACATAAATATCCTACGCTGTGACAAATCAACTGTGCAGTTTCATGATCTGAGGAACCAAAGGAAATAGAATGCATGATAAAATTGTTTGGTAAACATGCGTGATCATTTCAAGGCTCATGCCTTTGGGTGTGCAGCGCATTGAGCAATAGCAAATGATGAGTACATATTCCTGCTCCTCTCAGGATGTAACAAGCGCTGATCAACATATTTGCCGTTACCCGCGGAAGGCCGAGACCAAGTGCCGCATAGCCATTCGAGTCAGCTGTCCAAAACAAAGATCAGGACTACCCTACACCTTCGAAACCAGACGGAAAAACACTCAGCACACAGGGATGCAATGCCAAGCAATGCACCGACCACCTGCTCGTAATAAAATGACATCATCAATCTCGATAAGCTCAGGCAGGGCACAAATAATCCATGTCAATTGGCGATTTCGTAAATTCGCGTCTGTCGTGCCCTCGTAATAGGGCATGTCGTATAATGCACACTACGAACCAGAGCTGAGAAACAGAGGAAATCGTAAGCGTGGGCATCCGCCTCTAGCAGTTTCTTAGTGCGACTTGGTGCCTGGACCCTGATATGATGATGCCTGGTTCGGAAAATTTATGCCAAATACCATTGGCTGTACCGAAAGACCCCATCGCCACCCCCAGAAGAGCTTGCATCGAAGCTCTCGGGGTTAGAAATAAAATAGAAAGCGCAGTAAAACTTTCTTTCACTCTAAGCGCTCAAGAGAAGTTGAATCTTGAGGTCTTGCCGTCATCGATGCAAAGCATCTTCAGCCCTGTGTGACGCGTCCTGTCGCCCTGTGACTCTTAATTTTTACGAAGCGGCAATTCAATGCGACAACTGCTGGTTCTGGTTTAATGGAGATAATAAAGTCTCTAATTGGTGCATCGGCTCTGGTATTTATTTTAGATTGGCTTCTTTTTTTTTTTTGGGAGGCACGGTTAAAACGGCGCGTCGGGTGAACGGCTTTGAAGGTGGGAAAAGTTAGTTGCCATGCGACGTCAGCAATTGGAGCATGCGTATACGAGAAAAAAAAAACAGGTTCTCAAGCCGCGATTAGCAATGGGAAATGCCGGATTGGAAAGAATCCGCCGTAAGAGAAGGGGTCTGTTGTGTTCTAGCCTTTTGGCGGGATACCGAATGCAGACAGTGAGAGAACAAAGGAGATGAGATGGGAGAAAGAAAGGAAGAAATCTTGTTTGTTCAGAGGGATCTGAAGGCGAGCAGCGGGCTTGGTGCTACAGCGAATGGGGGGGGACGTCCGCCTCCGATGGAGCTGAGTCCGCCTCCGCGACGTCGAGTCGAGTCGAGTCGGTGAGCATTGGAGACTAATGTTCTGATTCGCTTCTTTCCGAAATGACAGATCGCTATGCGCCATTTGGAATTGCATGTGAGTGTTGGTTTCATGACGATGATGTACCGTCTTGAGCCTAGATCCAATTCATGCACTGCCCTGCCCTGCCCTATTCTACTGGCCCCGATCGTAGGACGCTATGACCATGCCAAGACGGCTACGCCCACGTCAAAATGCTTATTTCGAGGACCTTATTTTCCGTGCCTTTTTGGGTCGCGGACCAGATGCAACGTGAGATTCAGGGTCCAGGCCAAGGATGCTTTCTCGGTCATTCTCTCGCTCAAGCTTTGATAAACGAGGCAGGGTAAAATACCAGGAGCTTGGTTGGTGCTCGGTTTCAGTGGTGCTCGGTCCAAAAGTTCCCTTGACAAACGGCTTCTTCCAACGTGGTTAGTCAGGACCACCCACGCCAGCCAGGCCAGATCCCTTTCTCCCCCAACTCCTCCCCTCATCATACAAGTCCCAGCTCGTGCACAACAATATGAGCCAAATACCTACCTACCTACACACACCAACAAACTGTGGAGTCGGGGCTGAGTCCCCACGCTGTGATATCACAGACTAACATACATACACTACCAAGCTAGACGGGCTAACCTACCTACGGCACTCATTTCCACCCCCGTCTCCCCTTTTTGCGCCCGTCAGCTCCCCCCTGCCTTGTAGTCCCATACCGACACCTACCATCAACCACACGATATTCTCGCTGGCGGAGCATGTACACCTCTTGTATAGCCTCACTTACCACTACAATTCACCACGTTTCAGCAGGAAACTGCGGTATTTTTGTTTTTTCTTTTCGATGGATACTCTCTTATTAGGGAAGAGGCCTCGCAGGAGATGATCACGGGCTGTAGAATTGTCTAGACCTCGCTGTTGGTTCCTGTATTAATACCACTCTCGTAGCTGTGCCTCATACCTGAAATTTCTCCCATCTTCTCACACTGATCTGATCCTCTCTCTGCTCTTTTTCTCCCCGCCCTTTCAAGCTTCCTCGTGAAGACTATTCCGCTCAACATGTCTGATCCTGACATCCGTGGGACAAAGGAGTCTGATCCTGAGGCTCAGATCCAACGCATCACCTTCCAAGACGGTCCTGAGCGCGGCCGTGAAGACCAAGATGCACACCGCCTCGGCCGCACACGCTCCCGCTCCCTATCCCGTCGCCGCTCACACTCCAGCTCGCGAAGCCGTATCCATCCTACCTCTCCCTACTCCGGCGTTCAGATCGAATACCGCACCTTGTCCATCCAGGTCACCGAGGCGAAGCAGGTCGAACCCACAGAAGATCCCAAAGCAGCGGGTGGACAAAAGACAGACGAGGATTACTTCGCGAAACTGCAGTACCATGAACTTCAGGCTGAGCAGTTGTGTCAGCAGCTGAACGTTGATGTTGGCGCTGGTCTGTCTGAGAGTTCTGCTGCGACGCGTCTTGAGCGCGATGGAAAGAATACACTGCCTCATCCCAAGACGAACTACATCAAACGAACGCTCAAGTACATCTTTGGTGGTTTCTGTTCGGTTCTCTGGGTCGGTGCCATCGTCTTCTTTCTGTGCTGGCAGCCCCTCAGCAACCCCCCCTCGAACCAAAATCTATCCCTCGCCGTCCTCATCCTCATCGTCATTTTCCTCCAGGCTGGTTTCTCCGCCTTCCAGGATTGGTCTACAGCCAAGACCATGAATGCCATTCTCGACTTGCTGCCTTCTTTCGCAATGGTCAAGCGTGATGGAGAGCTCAAGAGTCTTCCTACTATTGGGCTCGTCGCTGGTGATGTTGTTCATCTCAAGGTTGGTGACAAGGTTCCAGCGGATCTTCGAATCGTTAGCCACTCTGGTGACATTCGTTTTGATCGATCGGTCCTCACTGGCGAGTCTGATGAGATCGAGGGTGCTGTTGATGCAACTGATGCCAACTTCCTTGAGAGTCGCAACATTGCCTTCATGGGTACTACTGTCATGAACGGTAACGGCATTGGTGTTGTTATCCTCACTGGTGGCCGCACAGTAATGGGACGCATCGCCACTTCAACCTCTGGCGTCAAGGACTCGGCTGCTCTCATCCAGCGCGAGATCACTCGTTTCGTCCTCATCATCGTCGCCATGACTGTTGTCCTTGCACTCGCTATCCTCCTCACTTGGGTTGGTTGGCTTCGCGTTGATCATCACGCCTACATGAGTGTCCCAGCCATGCTCGTCAACGTCATGGCCTGTGTCGTCGCCTTCATCCCCGAGGGCATGCCCGTCGCTGTCGCTCTCACACTGATGATGGTCGCTCGTCACATGAAGGCAGTCAATGTCTTGCCCAAGGGTCTATCAACAGTCGAGACACTCGGCTGTGTCAACGTCATCTGCTCCGACAAGACAGGTACTCTTACACAGAACCAGATGTTTGTCAGCTCGGTTGCCTTTGTGGACAAACAGTTTGACTCTTCGGATGAGTTCCAGCACTTGCTTCATGGCAAGGACGTCAGTGAACCTGCTACTGCTCTTCAACGCGCTGCCCTTCTCTGCAATGATGCATCCTTCGACCCTACCACCAACCATCTCCCTCTTCAGGAGCGCACCATCCAAGGTAACGCCACTGACAGTGCTGTCTTCCGCTTTGCTGCCTATGGTCCTTCCGACGATAGCTTCCGCAAGACAGTCCCTCGTATCTTCGAAGTCCCCTTCAACTCCAAGAACAAGTGGATGCTCACAGTCTTCCAATCCGACGATGAACGAGGTGCCTACCGCGTCATCATCAAGGGTGCTCCCGATATTCTCCTCGCTGGATGCACCAAGTACTGGTCCGCTGAGTCCAACTCTGTCGAGACACTTACCCGCGACGCCCGCATCAAGTTCCAAGAGATCCAAGACGATGCATCGCGACGCGCCGAGCGTGTCATCGTCCTGTGCGAGAAATTCATCACCCCCCGCGCCGTCGCCGGAACAAACAGTTTCAGCGACGAGATCACCCACTCTGCCATTCAAGACCTCACCGTTGTCGGTATGCTCGGCATCATTGATCCTCACCGCCCCGAGATCCCGGCCACCGTTGAGCAATGCCGCCGCGCTGGTACTCGTTTCTTCATGGTCACCGGTGACTACGCCCTCACAGCCGCAGCCATCGCTCGCAACACTGGTATTTTCTCCTGCCAGCAGGACCCCGACACTATTGACACCCTGTACACCGGCAATCAGATCACTGAGAGCGAGAAGCCCAAGCGAAAGGCCAGGAAGGGTGATCGCGCTGAGATCATCAAGCGCAGTTTACTTCTTGAGGGTGCCAACCTTAGCCGATTGAGTCAAGAGGACTGGGATGTCGTCTGTGCTTATGAGGAGATTGTCTTTGCGCGAACTACACCTGAGCAGAAACTTCGTATCGTCACTGAGCTTCGGGAGCGCGATAACGTTGTCGCTGTCACTGGCGATGGTGTTAATGATGCTCCCGCCCTTCGAGCCGCGGATGTTGGTGTCGCTATCGTCACAGGTAGCGATGTGGCCATTGAGGCTTCTGACCTCGTCCTCCTTGATCGCTTTGACTCCATCATCGATGCCATGCGCCTCGGTCGTCTCGTTTTCCAGAACCTTCAGAAGGTCATCTCATACCTCCTCCCCGCCGGTAGTTGGTCCGAGATCTGGCCTGTCATTCTCAATGTCTGGTTCGGTGTTCCCCTTCCCCTCAGCGCATTCCTCATGATCATCATCTGTGTCTTCACCGATCTCTTCCTCAGCCTGTCTCTCATCATGGAGAAGGAAGAATTCGATCTTCTCTCCCTTCCTCCCCGCAACCACAAGCGCGACCATCTCATCAACAGAAAGATCTACACCCAAGCCTACCTCTTCACTGGTTTCATGGAGACCATCACCGCGCACGCCATGTTCTTCTTTTACATGTGGAAGTATGCCAAGATGCCTGTCTCAGAGCTCTTCTTCCTCTTTGAGGGCTACACTGAGGGATACCGCGGCTACACTGCCGCTGAGCTCACCAAGTTCAACAACACTGGCCAGTGTGTCTACTTCGTCACTCTTGTCTTCCTCCAATGGGGCAACATTCTTGCCGTGCGAAACCGTCGCTTGAGTATTTTCCAAGCTAGCCCCCTCAGCAAGGCTCATCGCAACCCATGGTTGATCCTCAGCATGCTCATCAGTTTGTGCATCGCCATCTTTGTCACCGAAGTACCCGGTATTCAGAATTTGTTCGATACCGAGTCTGTGCCAATTGAGTTCTGGCTCATTCCTATTCCTCTTGGACTTGGCATTCTCCTGGTAGATGAGATCAGGAAGTTTATTGTCAGGACGTATCCCAAGTCCTTCGTGGCAAGGATAGCATGGTAGAGTTTCGGAGTGAGAGATTGCATCAGCGGGTTATTGCTAGTCATATAAAATAAAAATAATAAAATTTTTACATTTTCAGGATACGTTTGATCGACGTCACAAAGACGTCGCTTAGCCCCGTTCAAGACGGCCAAGTGTTAGTAGTAGAGTTGCCGTTCCGCTGTTTTGATGACCCTTTTCCTTGGCCACGTAATTCCCACTGAAGTCCCAATTGACGCATAGAGTTTAGACATTATTTCCCTGCCGCTCACGCGACTTCAAGGTCCTTGCACCGGACATACATACATACACTTCTCATTGGCGCTCAGCTGAAGATAGGGCTGCCGAGATGAGCTGTCGCTAACTAGAATCCTACCCAGATCGACACCCAATTCCTCATGACCCAAGATTCTGGAAAGCGTTGGGCTGATGCTGACATTCTTTCCCCACAAGCCCAGTATAACTTTTCCACTGAGTTTCATCCAATACCGCAAATACGGGATCTCGTAGCCTTGGCAGACCCGCTCGCTCCCCTAAAGGTCCGAGAGCGCCCCTGAGCCTAGCCTAGCCCAGGCCTTAGGGTCGGCAATTAAAATTCCCATCAATGCCGGTCAATCATTCAACGCCTGATCAATAAATTTATTTTTGACACTGAATACGAGGCGAGATTCAGTGAATACTCGCGCAGTCACAATACAATGTCTGCTATCGCCAACAAGATACACACAGCGCCAGCTGCAGCGGCCTTTCTATCAATCGGTCTATTCCAGGGCATCACAGTGACACTTCTGCAGAGGTAAGGCTCCCATTTTTGGCGCTGTTTTCCACCTCTGACCTCAAGCTGCAGCGTTGTTCTTTTGCAATGGCAGGAATACGCTAGACCTACAGTCATCCAAGTGCCTCGAGGCTACAGCATTCCAACTAATTTTGCCATCTTTATATTTGGCTTCATCTTTCATTTGTTGTTCATGTGGGATGCCATCCGGTTAAGGAGTACAGCCCAAGCCGTGCTCGCGTGCGTCATCAACGCGGGTTTTCTACCTCTTGCTATTTTCCAGCGCCGGGATATCAAGGAGGCTATCGAGTCATTCAAGACCTCAACAGACTCTAATGGCGACCATTTGGTCAATACTGACATGGATATTTGGCCACTCATTGGAAAGATTCTACTGGTCATTCCCATCATTATCGCCGTCTGCACCTTGGTTCTTCCTATCAGTGCTTGGTATCTGAAGCAGTACTTTTCATGGCAGTCATATCGCAACGTCGGCGCAGATGCAAAGATGAGAAAGATACGCATCATCCACCATGTATGTCAACTATCACCGAGCCTGACTATTGCTAACCTGATCATCAGATCTTTGTCATGCTCGCCAAAATGGACATTTACTTTATCATCTGCTTCGATCTCATCTTTTGCTTCCCCGTTCTCGGAGGAATCCGCAGTGGAGGCACCTCCTTCATAGTCAACCTCGCCCTTCTAGGTGTTGCACTCGCCAGCATCGCCGTGTCAATAATGTTCAGCAAGTCAGAAAATCGTATTGGAATGTGTTTCTCTATAGCCATGTATCTTGCAATGCTTGGCTACTTGCTTTACCTAGTGATAGATGCGCAATTGGACAGTAGGAGGAGGAGCGGAGGTTCGATTGACTCGTTCACCGCGTTTGGTTGCATGAGTATCGTGTCCATCTTTATGACGACGATATTCGCTATATTATGCTTGCGAAACTTCTTCGGAGGATTGAAAGAGCATCTGGGAAAGCATGAAGAAGCGTGGGATCCTCATGGAAGTGCAAAGGATTTCGAACTTGGTAACGACATCAATTTTGGGTATAAGAGCGTGCCGGCTGTTCGAGACTTGGATAGCTGAGAGTGTCCAGTTCCGAGGAATGAGATGATGGATTAGACAAAAAGACGGTACTGGCAAGACGAAAACGGAGGCCCATGAAGGCCAAATACAATAATTACAGAAGCACGCCGTGTTCTTCATATATAGACTGAATATAATACACTAATAATGATTACATATGATAGACGAGCCTTGGATGTATTAGCTAGCCTGAGGTCTTACGAACGATAGCGATACCCAAAGATCTTTGTTCTCGAGTAACTTCGAGGTTGGCCGCGATTCTAAAAATATCCCACGGGTTGAACGTAAGCGAGGTCCATGAAACACCCTAGCACGTCTTAGGTTAGTCTCTATTCAGTCGCCTTCCTCACTTTAGAACATGAATCCGAAATGTGGATGAATTTTCGGGATTAAGAACCTCAACAGGCTGTTGTAACCGCAGGCCATTCATTTATAGCGCCGTGGGTACTTTGTTCCAACCAATGCAGTTGCTTGAAGGACTTCTTTGAGTCGAGTGTACTTATAAGTGAGTTGAGATGTACGAAGTATTGATCGCCTATAACTTCTCCTTCCTAGCAAAAATAACCTCAAGTGATAATCTCCCTTTGCTGTCCAACCAAGGCATAAGAACAGCTGTTGTATTTGAGGCCCGTGCGGTCCTCTTTAGCCAAAGTCCCTTCTACAGCTCGTATAGCCAGATCAGACGAACTGTAATAGGAAATGTTAGTCAGCGTAGCATTGATACGCTCCTTAGATCTGGACGAGAATGTGAGTTTATAGTACGGTCATGAGTCAGAACTGAATATTGCTTAGCGTATCGATCTATTAGAAGCAATACCAGTAGCTGAGAACAAAAAAAAAGCTATAGAAAGACTATTCTCTTAATTCTAATTAGGTGGTTGTAGTCTTATTTCGGTATCTATCACCATACATTCTATATGAGTCTCCCAGAGACGTGAAAATATCATAACCCGACCAATCAATGGCTTCGAGCGTTGACCTTGCAGCAACTTGATCCTTGTCATAGCTTGCCTCTGACCTAGGCCCAAGAGGCCTCGGTACACGAAAGAAGAAATGCCAGATGCCTCACCAGGAGACTGAGGGCTTACACCTAGTAGGTGTAGCACAAAGGTCCCTTAGTAGTGTCCATGACATCTCTAACAGTGAGGTCCTCGTCAATACCACCCATCATCAAGACATCGTCCAAGCTGACTTCGTGCTGCTCTGTCTGGTTGATGTTCTGGTAAAGTCCGTTGTACTCAGTGAGTCTGGTAGAGTTCTCCTTCTGCCACAACCACCAGAGACGATCGATCTGCGCGTGGTGCAAGAAGAAAAGAGGTTCTGCTATATGTCAGTTACTGAACCAGTAGCATATGTGAATCACTAACCATTGGGAGAAGTGGTGGGGTTCATCTCACCACTGAGACAAGCGTGAATGCTACCGTGAGGCCCTCCCTCAAGAGACCGGGCGTACTGACTCCAGTTGCCAGAAGCTTGAACTTCCTCAACTCCTTCGGGTCCGAAGCCCTTGGCCATGGTTGCGAAAGCATCAGGCTCGTCAACTTCAGGTAAGTTACGATGCAGACAGTGGCCACCATCGGTAAGCTTCTTTGGCTCAGTCTCGAGGTACTCAGGCCGCAGCTTTGCAAATGGGCCGTCGCTTACACACTTGAGTGTGCTTCCCGAGGCACTGATCTCGGTATTTTCAGAGTCTCCGTTGCCGCCAAAGCCGTTCTTTGCTGCCATGACTGGGGAGAGACGAAGGCCCTCTGCATCCTTGGTCCAGTCCCAGTAGCTGAACGTTCACGGTCAGAGGTTACTTGGCAACGGGCTTGTATACTACTCACGTATATGGACCTTCATAGCCGCAGTCGCGAACAGCTCGCTCGTAGAGTACACCAAAGTATCGGTGCCAAGGGAGGAAAGGAGCACCACCATGGACTGTATCGCATTAATAAAAGGTTAGGCTTGATACTGCAGACGGTACTTACTCCATGAATTGAGCTGGAAGTGAAGATGAGGGAAGTCATCATACAAGCTAGATTTCAGACCCATGCGAGACGGCTTAGTCTTGAGGCACAGAACAGCGTCGATATAGCCCTGCTGATCAGCAGCATCCAGCTCTCGCCACTCAATTCTCTTTGCAGGATTCGAGCAAGTCTTGTCAGCCTTAGTGGGAGCAGCCATAGCTGGGGTAATGGCGCCGGCGAGGGCGAGAATGGACGTGAACTTCATTCTGAACCGGGGTGAAAACGACTGCAAAGCTTTAATGTCTAACGAGTGAATGCCTAGGGGGAGTGATACTATTCTCTCTAGCGTAGATAGTTGGGAGATGTTCCCTTTTATCACTTCTCCAGTTCGTCTATTTTCTTTATTATTTACGAGATTCAGGCTCATCGGCCCCATAGTGAAGTCTTGGCAAGGTGCTCAGTCGCGCTCACGGACCTCAGGAGCATGCTTGGCACAAAAGCCATACGAGGTGATCTTCATGCTAAGTCACCGCTAGAACAAATTCTACCACAAACGACGGGCATACTATGGGCCCAAATCTAATTCTGGTTATGCTTGTTGGAGAAAACACAGAGGCGATTTAGTGCCGAGGTTAAAAGCAAAGACCAGTCATATACGGAATAATAGATTGAACAAGATTGAGGTTTCAAGTTTATGAAACGTGAATGTAGTGACCGGTGACAACTCGGGTATAGGATGACTTAAGTATCTATTTCCACAAATACAAAAATATGTAAAGAAGGGTAAGTATAAAAGAGCCTCGGCACAGAGAAGTTGAATGCCACTTTGACCATGTAAAACGGGCCTCAATGCCGAGAATACTAGAGAAATAGACGTTTCAGCGAGAGTTCTACTTCCGAGCACCCTTGATACCAGCTAAACGACGCTCAGTATTCTTTCGAGAGTTGACAAAATCGGGGTTCGACAGCGTCAACTCCAGGCCACCGGAGATGATATTGTCAACTGCCTCGACACCTTGCATGAAACTGTGACAAGTTATTAGCTCATTGATCTAGCAATAATGAGATAAATCATAAGAGGGTCTCACCTATGGTCCTGATTACCAACCTCATACTTCCACGCTCCAAATCGACCACGAGACAGAATATCCTTATCGTATAGATAAGGAAAAGCCTCGGAGAGGGCATAGTCACGTTCGAGGGTGGGGGTTGGATAACCGTGATCGAAGCGACGGACATACGTGCTGACAATTTCATCATCAGGTTTGAGTAAGTCGGTGTTGATCAGACCTTGGATACTCTCTTCAAGCAAAGTGGCCTGGTTAACGGGCTTGTAGGAAGACTCGGAGACTTCAAGCATAATTGACCAGTATGGACCAGAAGCTGGCGCCGAGGAGGCAGGCTTATCACCATTGGCAAGCTGTTTGGTTGCAAGCTTGACACCTTCGCTTGGTTGATTGAAGGGCGAGTAGTTAGAGAAGATGGTAGCTCGGTAGAATGGAGCGTTGTCTTCGGGGAAGTAAAGCTGTGATTATGTGAGCATTGATATATCAAAAGCGCTTCATAGCCGCTTACCCAGCACTTATCGCCAATACGATCGGGTCGCTTTCCACGAATGCCAACACCAATCACGTTGGTCGATGAGTAGTAAAGCGGCTTGAGTGACTTTTGGAGTTTGGCATCGCCAATAGTCTCCGCAAGCTGGTCAACAGCCATGGTAGAGATAAGTGCACCATACTTGACTGTGGTTCCTATACTCTTGTCAGCTGAAATCTCAATATGAGGAAACAAGCGGCTTGCCATCTTTCAGGTAGACCGTTTTAGCATCAGCGTCGATCTTGATAACCGCACCATGGTCTCCAAAGCGAGTCTTGCTTTGATCAAGAGTATCCGCCACAGCCGTCCAGATCCCGCCTGTTCCTCCACGAGCAGGGAAGCGGAATGTTGCGTTTGGACCCCATCCACCAGCTGCTTTACCAAGAATAGCGTTGGTAGTCACGAGTTTGACATTAGGAGCCGCGACACGTTCTCCAACCCAAGTCGAGTTCATCTATACAAGTTAACCACGATTTCACATGAACTATGGAAGAAGTGTACCTTGTTTGTAGGAATAGCCCAAACCTTGAAGTTGTAAGGTCGCATAAAAATCCCATTCAGCCTCTCACCAACGTTTCGAATATTCCACTCGTCAAAGTTGGCAGGTTTGTCAGATGGGGAACGCGCGCGGGCTTGAATGGCTGCGTCGATGAGATCGCCAAGACAACGGGCCTGTTCTTCTTTTGGTAGAACTGCAATGTTGTTCTGGAAAGGGTACGGGACCCAAAGACCTTGGTAGCGGACGTATGAGATACGTTGATGCTCATACCAATCTTCAGGCTTGGGAAGAGCTTCGTTGATAATATCGTCGAAGTACTTGTAGTGAGAGAAGATGACATGTCCGCCAACATCAAAAAGCTGGAGTGAGTAAGTATGAGAGCGCTGGCACTGGCTAAGGCACACATACGAAGCCCTCCGGGGTCGTGTCGGTTGATGCAAGACCGCCAGGTGTTTCATTAGAGTCAACAATGAGCCAGTCGACACTGTTCTGCAAGAAAGATCAGTACAAAGTGTCACTTCACATGATAGGAGGTTCTACCAGATGTTGAAGACGCTTTGCTGCTCCAAGACCAGTTGGACCGGCCCCGATGACAAGCACGTCAACGTTACTACAAGTATGTTTTGTTAGATGAAAGATCCCCAGTGTTCCAGTTAATAAGCCGACTTACACTTCCTTAGTTGCCATTGTTTTCTTTCAATCAGAGCGAAGCTTACAGAGAGATTTATGATTCAATTAATTGAGTGATTGCTTATTTTATATCTCGAGATAGGCAAAATCAGTGCTCAAGCAGTGAGGAGGATTTTAATATTCGATGTTTCATTTCGTGCTCAGTGTGTTGGTGTCTTGCATCACCTCAAGATAAGATCAAATTGCGACATGAGACACTATAGTCTATTGGTGCATCGGTTACATGGATGGGATAGATCTGCTCCTAATTTTAGCCCTGTTGTCTTGATAAACATGAATCCTTTAATTTACTGGAGTGGCTGAGTCCATGCCCTCATTTAACATTCCCTGCTTGAAACAGAAACGCGTAAGTCAGCTACCCGATAGGAAGCAGAGGGACAGTACTGGCCTGAATTTAATCTCAATGTTGCCGCATTTTTTCAGCTGGAGCTTCCCGTTGTGGCTGATACTCCCTCTCATGGGTGCATGGGAAGGCGGAAAATAGGCTCTTGGTCCGAGAATTTCGATCCTTCGCGGTGGAAGCGATGGACAAAGACCTCGCTGGGAAAGTTAGAAATGGCAGACTGGTATAAGCAACATATGCCTTCTATCCTACCCTTGAAACCTTCCATAGTACCTATCAAATATGGTTACATTCGCCGCCTCCGCCACCAGATCATACAACAGCCACAGCAAGAAGGAGCACAGAAGGAACAACAGCTCCAGCGATCCATGCTTTACCGACCTGAGCCTCTCTCGATATCAGTACGACTTGAAGACACATAAATCTTTCTCACTTACTATCCTTCTTGGGAGCATTTGAAGAACTGGCTGAATCTTCAGATTGTGCGACGTCCGTTGTCGTTTGTGGGACAGCTGCACCTTATGAGCAGGTCATTGAAACTGACTATTGCTCACCTACTGTAAGCCTTTTTCCCGCTTGTAATGTTGAGTAGTATTAGTATGATATATACAAAATGTAAATTATATATTTTACCAGTAGTATGATGCTTAGATTATAGCAGGCGCCGTTTATTCGCCTTTGCGTCACTATCTCGCCCTTCAAGCCTGCGCTTCTCGCACTGAAACCTCATGCCATTCTCAAGCGAGTAAGATCCCGTGCCTATATAAGTTGGTATAGTCTCTTCCTGTCGCTCAAGAACTAAGGGTAGCTTTGCGCTGGAAGACCCCTTTGCAGAATTTTTTTGGCCAATATGAACTTCATAAGGTTCAAAAACACAACTTGCTCGGTTGACTACAACCTGTACCATGTTCCGTTCCTGAGGTATAATCGTCGGATCCGCAATGTTGAAAAGGCTCTTTGGCAACTTGGTAATTTCCTGACGCACCATAAAACCATCCTCTCGTAGCGTCTGTCTTATAATTGCACCTGCGCCTGCTTTCTCCAGCGAAGAAAGAATTTGGAAGCCGGAGGCATCTGTTGCTCTCATTGTGGTATTCAGGCTCTGTACCAACGAGTTACTCGTAGTGGCCATGGTCGAATCAAATGCTTGTCTCTTGTTTTCTTCCCTCCTCTTAACCATAACCTGCTTTTGCGTTGGACCATGAGGTAGAAGCCTCTTGCCGTAAAACAATGCGCCATCCTCTTGGAATTCAATTCTTGTATGATCTCTCTCAACATGATCCAAAACGTCGTTACCTAGATTAGCAAGTCAGAAGCGGTAAACGTGGCCGTTCAAGTGACAAACCTGTGGCCGAAAATCCCCACAAGACAACATCGTGCAAAAACTCGTGCACTGTAACACTTCCGTCGGGCTCGCGTTTCAACAGAGGTCCATGCTGTACGATTGCTGCAAGGGGGAGAAAGGGATGGAGCAGTATCAACTGCTCGGTCGATGCTAGACCACACTCGCAGGGCTTGAACGCAAGTGAGGTGAAATAGCGATAATTTGATGGTAAGCCCAACCCCTTCCCGTGGTCCTTGTATACGGTTGCTACCCAAAGTTTGCTGCCCCATGTTTTAGAGATATCGACAAGCTTCCTGGACTGATGAATGGTCACGATGAACTCCGTCGAATCGGAGATAAACAGAGCATACGTATCTTTGACTTGACGAACTGGAAATCCGAACGGCAAGTTGCCCATGGGGCCTGGCGTCAGGGTGAAATTGAGTAGCTGGATATGTGGCGACTTCCTCTTTGTTAAGACGGATTGTGAGTGTCTATTAATTGTTGCAACACATCCAGGAGCCACAATGCGGCTCAAATCAGGCGCGATTGCCAGAGGCAGCTCGAAGAGCAATCTGTGGTCATTGCCCTTGTCTATGCACTTCATCGACTCGATAAATGGACCTAGAGACAAATTCGGAAGGGCGATGTCTGCTTCGAAGTTCTTTTCAAAGGGATGAACAGACCATTCTTCAAATGTGATCCTCCAGTCTATGTCATCACGATGGACCCTTGAGTTCTTATCAGTGGATCTTCATTATTCGTGTCAATACATGCTTACCGTGAATCCGTGGAGAGCCTTATGATTCCGAGACGTTTGCCGTCTGGACTGACGAGTGATTTGAGACATATAGGATTTATAGTTCCACTATCGCTGTCACTTAAGTGAGCCAAAATCTTAGAGCCAGGAACTGATTCCCATAACGACGTGTTGTGGAATGCTCCAATACTGGGTTCCCAGATCTCATACGGTGACTCCAGAAGGACGTCTTGCCATTCCTGTCTCAGGTCCGCGAGCTCCAAAGACAGTTGATGCAGCCTCTTGACCGCGTCTTTCAAGGTAGCTACTGCCTGTTCCGACATAGGTATGGGAATCTTAACAGCAGAAGGGGAGCCATCGGTCCGTTGTGGCCAGTTTGAGAAAGTTCGAGGGGCTTCCCCAAAGACACAGCATGCTTCAATCCATAACATGATGGTTCTCTTGGCCGAAACAAAGTCAGAAGCGAGCTTGATAGAAAGCTCGCACTCTTGTGACAGTACTGGTGGTAGTTTGAGTAGAAATTCAGAGAAATGGAAATCCCAATACTGCGCAGAATATTCAAGGAATGGATATCGAATCTTCTGCAAGTCACGGTCCGCAACGACTTGTGGGCCGCCACCCAAGGGCTCTGCTGGTATGCTATACAGCAGATATGCTAGACAACAGGAGGCACATGATCGTTGCGCCAGGGACCGTTCCTTGACGAGTTGTGATACTGAATCTAGAGACTGGTCTTGACGAGATTGATCGGTCAAGTACTCAATAACTGAAACGTGAACAAATCTAGCCTTTTTCTCCGAATCAAGCTCAATAAGTGCCCCAGACATTTGTAGCAAAGCCTTCTCAAAGTTTGGAATTGTATCGTACTCGTTCACAGCACTCGATAGTGGTATTGTGATGGCGACCTCTAACTCATTGACATGCAGAGGCCGAGCAGCATATGAGACAAATTGAAACGCCCTAGTGATGTTCAGCCGCGCGGCTTGCCAAGTACTTTGTTCAATTGACCGTAGTATCTCCAGGTAGAGCGCATCGAGCCCCTGGAGTCGGTTTAGATCCTTGAGGGCTTCACGACGTTGCCTTATGGAGAGGTTGGGTGACTGGAGGTATTCTACCAGAAGCCGAGCCCACAAGAACATGCCGTTGGCTCTACTAGCAAGTAGTTTCACGACCTGATCTCTGTTTTCCTCTGAAGATATCACTCCATGTCGAGCTAGCTGTTGGATCTTGGGCCGTAAGAATGTCTCGAGTGATTCAAAGTTCATCGCCGAGGTAAGATCAAGGTGTTGAAGCATGGAGCTCAAATCCTGAGGGACAGCCACGCTAGGGCGACTGAAGAGTGCGACGGAAACAGAGTTTGAATACTGGCATATCTCTTTGAGGTAGTCAAAAAAGTCTTCGTGATCTTGGCACTCATCAACCCCATCGATGGCCATAAAAAGCTTGGAAACTCGAGATGAGAGGAGGCAAAGAGCTGATATGATCTCGCTCCCAGATGCAGTCACTTGCCCCGATTTGTTCTGATCCCACAGCAGAGTTATGATGTCCAAAATCGCTTCATCCTTCCGGAACATATGCAAGAGCTGTGCAAGTATAGCTCTAAGTGCAGCCATCGCTGTAGAGTTAGCTTGCCGTTGTCGATCGAAAAAGAAATACACGACTGCCACTGAGTCGTGTGTTGAGGAGCTCGTATAGCAGGTTCGGATATACTCAATAAGAGTGGCACATAATGTGGTTTTACCGTACCCAGGTTTGCCTTACGACGTTATCAGATTGAAAAGCTGAACATGCAGCAGGATGACCTACCTTGAACCGATAAAGCTGAAAGGATCCGTTCAGGAGTGACTTGCGATAGCCAGCGTGATACTTTGCCGTGTTTGAGAAACCACTCAGTAGTCCTTTCTGATCGCCTGTGCTGGGAGTTCTCAAGTGCGTATGCCCATGTCGGAGGATCAATCCAGGATTTGAGCCTTATGAGAAGAGAGTCTAGACAGAATAAGTCAAGAGTTCATCACCAGGTCTCGGGGAGTAACCAACCAATGTCTAGGTCTTTGAGATCTCTGGTGTATGACGTTTTAGCTCCCCAGTCACCATCAACCCGTTTTAGCAACTCATCAACGCGGTCGCCTGTCTCAAATTGTTGAAAATTTGCCGTGATTGACATTTCAAGCTCGAATATCTCTCGATGATCCTTCCATCTCTTTATGAGATCATCGTATCGGATGTTGAAAGGCCTCCAGATCGTGGAGTATGCGAACGAGCTATGGAGCATCAATAGCCCTACGCGTGCCCTTAGTTTAGTATGGTGTGATTGAAACTCATGGGTTATGGAGGCATACTTGAGCGTTTCTTTGTGAACACTTTGCACATTTCGAAGCAAAATTGAATGAGATCGGCATATATATATGCCAAAGTCTTAAAAATACGTGTACAGCCTTCACGGCCATTTGCAGTAAGTCTCGAGCGGAGTCTTGATACGTATTCCTCGTATGCAGGCAAGACCATGCTCATGCTTTCGAACATATCGCAAACCCTTTCCAGGAACTTTGCGTGATTAGAGCCTAGCTGCAGAACACGGATAATTAGCAGCTACCCGTCCAGATCCAGCAAATTGCCCAACACTCACCACAAAGACTAGTCGTAGAGATCCCCATGCAAGGGCAGCAAACTCAGGGTGAGAGGATACAAACAGACCAGCGACATCGAAAAATGGCGATAAACGGTTTGCAATGCTGTTGATCCCTTTGCAACATTGAGTCAGTGTTGAGGAATGCACAGGGTGAGATTTAGCATCCTCCTTGATGGCTTTCAGCATTGACTTTGCATCGGAGAATTCCTTGAAGAGCGTCTTGTCTTTCTCGGTTAGTGAACTTCGAAACTCATGGCACGCCTCTCGGAAAATCTCGTAAGGCTCCTTGCTGGCGAGGCTTTTTCTATCCATACTACTAATGCCAGACTAGAGGAGGACTTTGTAGTGAGTGCCTGTTGATTTCTTAAGAATGTTAATGCTAGGGCTGATAGCGATGTAAAGGTGTTGATGAAGAAAGTCGGTCCAGAGGCTGACTTGAACGGGCGAGTGCAAAAGCGATTGGAAAGCTTGGTTGTGCTGCGCCACCTATAATCAGCCTGAGTACTGCGTAGGTGATGGCTCACGGGCAAGATGGTTGGTAGCTGATGTCATGAATAGATGATTTGTGAATCTGCATGGGGGTTGAAAATGGCCAAGCCACAACACCATGCAGCCAGTAAGATGTGTCGAGATCCACGCATATGCGCAGAGCTCATACGCGCTAAACCACCCTGCTGATATCTCAGTTGCCATTTCGCAGGGCAGAATTTCGCATCCTCAGCCTTCATTTCTCATAAAAGTCCTTGAGAGATGCTGGAAAGACTCCGTCCACTTCTTAACCAGTTTGCACCTTGTTATCAAATTCCACTAAACACCATATTTGCAACTCATTGAGCATATGCTAGGATTTCATTCACTACCTGAGCATTATTCAGAAAGTTCGTATACTTACCAATACTCCCCGTGGTACTTTGAGACTTGTGTATAGTGACCATCTTCCAGAACTCAATCAAACTTTGGGTGATGCTATCAAGCAACATCCAAGACTGATCGCTTTTTGCACTCTTAAGCCAGCATCTAGCGAACCCCGATGGGACTTTTTGCTTCAGATACCTACTGGCATACTGATTGGGATCAATATCTTCACTCGGAGACGTTTCTTGAAGACGTCCTCCCTTTGGTAGGTCAACGACTCTTTACCACATTCTCTTCCACAAGCTTTGTATAAATTACACTTGAGTGCGTCATGCTGTGGACGAATCCTCCTGATCCGCCGGGCGGCGTCCCCTACTGGAAATGCAGCAATTGTGATTGGGGAGATTGCCAGGATTGTATGATCATAGATTCTGCACTTCTTTGTGCTCTGATGGATATAGAGTATGAAGAGTATCGCTCGTCCTCCCACGCGCTTCCGGAGGCCATTGATGATACCCAGGCGCATGTCTCCGAAACCGACAACATCATTTCTGCCAGTATTAAAGCTGCCAAAATAGTTGTCGCACACTTCGATGGTACTATGCAGTCGCCTGACGGGGTTTGGCAAGACAGTGGTACAATGTCACCAAGAGCGGCAACTTGTGGGACAGTTCGACGAAGGTTCGAGCCCGGGTGGACTAGCAGGCAGTTGTTGTTTCCTGGAATTACAGTGGATGATCCCTGCCTTCTTGACAAGGCTGACCCACCATTCTACGATTTCGGAAGCTCTTCCAGGCCCATCTTCGACGAAGCCGAGGCTATCAAGTCTGGGGGGACATCGCAAGTATCTCGAGTCAGAGTCTGCCTACAACGTACGCGTGGCTATGGAGGTGAAGGGAGAGGAGAGGCTACCTTCGCTGTAAAGAAGATAGACAGTGGAACATATCAGGACTACGCACGCGAGCGAGACGCTTATCGAAGGCTGACTTTTGTGCACGATCCTCATCCTCACATTGTCCGTCTTCTCGCCTCTTACCGGATGGAAAGCAGGTACCACCTCGTCTTCCCATCGGCTGATTGCGATCTCGCTATGTATTGGCGAAATCATCCCAGACCATCGGACGACAAACGTACCGTTGAGTGGCTTGGAGGTCAGATGAGAGGGCTCGCAGATGCCTTGTCTACTGTTCATGGGCAAAATGGAGTTCATGGCGATATCAAACCAGAGAATATTCTTTGCTTTGGTTCCGACAACAGACAGACGGTATTAGCTCTAACGGACTTTGGGTCTTCATACTTCCTCGCACCCGAAGAGAAACAGTTCCCCAAGGGCCTCAAACATACACCAGTCTACCGCGCTCCCGAAATCGACACCCACAAGAGTATTACACAGGCCTATGACATCTGGAGCCTCGGCTGTGTATTTGCGGAAGCCATCGTCTGGTTTTATGACGGAAAAGCCGGAATTGCGAAGCTGATCCGAGCTCGGCTCGATGAAGAAGACGGCAGCCCTAATCGAGATGCCTTCTTCTGGCTGAAGCAAGATGATCGATTGGGCCTCACGGCGAAACTCAAGCCTGAGGTGCAAAGAGTAAGTCCCGTATACCTTTGCCTACCCTCAGACAGTATCTAATCTTGTTGATAGCTGCTCGTATCCCTTCGTGAGAACTCTCGGTCGTCCTTCTTCATTGATGACATGCTCTATATCGTTCTGGAAGGGATGCTCCAAGTTGACATGAGCAAGAGAATGTCGGCTCGGGAGATCCTTGACGCCTTGACGCAAATGTGCAGCAAGTTGGAAAATGATCCAACTTATTCTGAATTTCGAAATAGTGATACGAAAATGGTAGGACAGCCATTTTCCTTGAGGTAGAAGATTGTGTGAAGTCGTCAACTAACTCACACATATGCAGGCCCTCTCTCATACTGCTCCACGTTTCTCGGCAAGGAGTATTTCGCTAACAACTGACTCTAGGTCCACACGAATCAGAATGCCAGGCAGCGGCTCGATAGAACGGTCGACGCGACTTATTATACCAACACCACGACTCAAAGCCTTAGTGACGCTGCGACCCAAATTGGCTTGAAGCTTCGTTTTGCCTGCCCTTTTCACAAGGCAGGCATCTTGGTCTCGGTCCACCACCGAGCTTGCGAAGGTCCGGGATGGATTGATGTAAACAAAGTCAAGTATGTTTTCCCGTCTAAATTCAACTAAGTTAATCCAAGTTCACCTAAATTTACCTAAAATTAGGAAAGACATGCTAACTTTAGAGTAGGGAACATCTCTTCCGCTGCCATCTTCCAAAGAAATACCGAGGCAAGCATATCTGCCGCCGCTGCGACACCAGTTTCGAAACAGACGAGCTCCTTCTAGCTCATCAGCATCAAGAGACGCCATGCCCCAAAAGGAAGCCGGAGGCAATTCATGGTATGTTGAGTAGAGAACAGGCTGCTCGACTCCGTTCCCTCAAGAGGAAGTCATCGAAAGAAAGTGAGGAGGACCGATGGTTCGATATCCACCGGATCGTATTTCCGAACTTCAATCGCATGCTGGAGAACATCTCGCCATGTAAGTGTTTGCAGTCTATGCCACGGAGCCCTTGTTATTCTGGTTCATGTTAACCATATAATTAAGATCACGAGTCAAACACCACCTCCCTGAGTACGGTCAACTCGACAAGCTCGAACGGAATATCTCAGTACAAAGACTATCTCCGCAATCGCGATGCTGAAGAGTATGCTGCCAAATTAGCGGAGAATGGGATCACCATCACAGTCAACGCAGCTTCCAAACTTCTCGAGCTGCAGGTCAAGGAACTTGGGACCTTTGACGAGACTGTGCGAGGTCCTGTTAGCGCCTACGGCATTCCAACTGTTGCAGGTCACGAGAAGACCGGAGAAAGTGCTCCCTCCAACCTCAATGGTTCGTCTGATTTTATGGACCGTTTCCAGCTTCTGGCGGGCTTTGAGGGCGACAAGGACCTTTGAAAGCGCCTCTTGACATCCTTGGATGTACATCAAGCTAACGCCGGGAAGCTTAGCTTTCTTGGTGGTATGTTAGAGGGTTTTGAGGTGTGCTGTTGTGTTACGCTTTGGTATTTTATCACTGGCTTAAGTCTGTCATTAAACAGCCAGATTCCGCTCTTTTACACCGCAATTTGAACATGTTTTGACTAAAATTTGAGTAGAGTGTGCTAAAATGCTGAAAAGCATCAAAGCTCTAGGACAAGCACTCAGATAAGTACCTAAGGAGCTGATCTCGTAAATTGCTGTAGGGTGTAACAAAGGTTTACTGGGGTTTGTATGCATTGTAAGTTTAGCTAACATGCGCGATATCGCTTATTATATCACTTAGGTCAGTAGAGGCACCTGGGGCAGTTTTGAAGGTAAGGCTCGTGACACCTTTGCGCTTCATTTCTCCCATCACTCCTTAATAGTCAGATTCATTGTCGATTAAAAATGAATACTTCATTGCTTGCTATTTCATACTAGGGAATGCGTACAGCATCATGCATCAGTGACCTCGTCCAGTTTTCAATTCCCAGTTATTCAGCGAGCTGCAGTCCACGGATAGAAAATCGAGCTCGGATAGTAGCACCAGATCCAACATCAAACTCCTCCTCACGGTTCATACCATCAGCACCCGTCACGCTATCAAAAGGAATATCGACCGATCCCTGCTCGCTTGTACCATTCTGCAGGCTAAGCTTGAAGCTGTGCGGGCTAGAAAGCTGCTCGGCAGTAATAGGGAATCGGAACGCCGTGTCGAAAGATGGGTTGAAAATATCCGTTCCAGGGCTGTAGCTCTTGACGGGAGTGACGAATTCCTTGTCGCCCCATGTGACCTTGACGCTTGGCTTGAGCTCGTCGCGTTGGCCGTTGAGGCCATTGACGCTGGCGATGAGGACGGTGGCAAGACCGCAGATTTCGCCTTCGTTTTGGCTGCTGGCGGAAATGCTGTTGGATTCGCCGACGAAGTTAAAGAACTTGCCGTGAATAGTCACCTTAGTCTCAAGGGGCTGACCCTTGTGAGACAGGGTGAGAGTCTGGCTACCCCCATTCAGGAGAAGTTGCTTGACGGTTGTCGTAGCGATACCAATATCGTCATCACCGCCAAGATCCTCATCGTTCACATCGATGGTAATACGCTGCTCGTAGTCCGTAACCAGGAAGTCGTGCGTCTCGTTCCACTGAGGGTCGTGTTTATTCTTGATAGTCGAAGTTCGCCACTCTCCCTCAGCACCGACGTTGACATCACAATAGCAGTCAGGAATATCCTTGATAAGCTTTTGGAGTAGCTTCTTGGCGCCACTCTTCTTTTCGCCTGTAATCTCAGTGGCGTTATCAATGGTGAGGCGGAGAACACCGTGGTGGGGCTGGAAGGTCTTGAAGTAATCGTTGGAGGAGTCGAGCTTGACGAGGAAGCGGTTGGGGAGGACGGCCATGGAGGAGATAATGTTGAGAATGACCTTTCGGACGGTCTTGTCGATCAAGGAGAAGTCGGCAATGTTGGCGGCATCGGTGAAGTCAAGAGATAGCTCTGGGGGGTTGATGAAAGCCACCTGAGCAGCTCCGATCTGTAGATCATGTTAGCGCCGAATATTGCAGCGGAGTCGGAGGCTCATACCAGGGGAATAACGTTTGTCAAAGGGCAAAGCAGAATGGAGAGTCGTCCCTTCATCTTCACATGTTCGATGCCCTGTTACACCAATAATCAGTAACGCATAATATTGAGGCCAGCGATGACGGAGCTCACAATCTTGGGCACCATTGACGCATCAAGTTCGAAATCGCACTTGCCATCCCAATCCAAGTCCATATCAAGTTTGATGCCCTCGAGTTCGGTCTTGTGCACGTCAACATTAGAGAATCTGATGGGCGTAGGTCCAAAGTCCAGCTTGACGAAGCGGAGGTTCGCGAGAGGACCTGGAAGCATCTGGTCAAGCATGGGCTCGACGACATCTTTGATGATCTTGCCGCCTGCGACATTGATGTTGGGCCACAGCTGGGCGACGATGTCGTTGAGGAATCCTGGAGAAAGTCAGCGGGATAATTCGAGACGTCATGAGGAGTCGAGGGGCGTAGGTACCGGCAGATTCCGCGCCTCCAGAGGCGGTAAGAGTATCTTTGAGGGAAGCCATGTTATCCATCTTGGCGAGTGAAATGAGAGAGAAGGAGGAGGGGAAAAGTCGAAAGTATGAGAGTGAGACGCCGTATAAATAATGATGACGATGCAGCTGAAGGTGAAGCTCTGCGGGGTTTGGGAGGTGAATGGCCCGACAGTTTGAGGTCCAGTCCAACTCTGATGCAGGACCTAAAGCTCTAGACCACGCCCTGACGTCATTTGTGCTTCGCTGTCACGCCTGACAGGGGTGAATATCCTGTTCACTTGCCCCTAGACCAGCTGAATCAGCGTCATGAATTACAGATGAAACGATTATATCAATAATTCTTGATCAGATTAAGCATTCTGCCAAGCTTTTGGTCCGTTATTTGAGCTGCAACCTTATTTTTGGGTGACTCTGGGCGAGGTTCTAAAAATATCGGGTGCGGGTTGGGCGACAGGGATTAAATGTGCCGCATCATCCGATTGTCACTGAACACTTGACCTCCACTGGAGCGACGAGATGATTCGAGGTTTCGCTGATCATAATAAATGTAGTTCAAGGGATATTGAGATCGGGAATGATGGTGGTTAATGCGAACGTCGTGAGGGTGGCATGGAAACGAATATCGGTTCCGTCAATTGCTGCTGTGTTCTTTCAGCAACCCCACGTACGTCAATATCACACCAGTCAAACACCACCACCAGAGTACAGATGTAGTATTGACGCTGAATCATTGCACCGCTATCGACCAGGTGGCTACCATCCCGTTACATTAGGCGATTCCCTCAGCGATGGACGGTACAAAGTCCTTCATTAGGCAAAGCCGAATTGAAGAGTGACTTTTGAACGTAGTGAGAAGGGGACCTTCCGGCTTTGCCTCTTTAAAGTGAGGTGTTTAAGGTTTGCCAAGGAATTTGCTCTTCGGCCATTGGTCAGATTTAGTCGATCAGTTCGGCCATTGGATAATAGATGACCTACGGGGTCTTTCCCAAAAGTAAAGCTATTGCAAGATCAGAGGCAAGAGGGAAAAGGTCAAAGTACCGATCAGTTAGTCAGTTAGTCGGAAGAAGGTCCTTCCGGAGCCGTAGGCGACGGATTGGGTTGCCCTCCGCTTGAGGAGGCCCCCGGCAGGGTCCCCGAAGGGTCGCCGAAGGCAAGCCGGCTGCAGGCCTCCCCGGAGGGTAGTCATGAAATCCCCTCTATGAAGATCGAAGAAAACCTCCTCTTTCAGCAGAAAATTCCCTCTTTTGGCACTGAAGATAGCTTCAAGAGGCACAGCAAGAAGACCGTGGGGTCGAGCTAGGCGGAGGCATTTGCCTCGCCTAGGATGACAGCCTGTCAGCATCAAGGTCTTGTAAGCTTGGCTGGGGCAGCTACTCTACCACTTGGGCCGCCAAGGACCAGCTGTATGTTTGATTAGAATAATGCAATTACTTACTGATCGTTTGCCAGGGTCAATCGCTACTTTGCAATCAAGATCACAGTGGCCGAAGCGAAGAGAAGTAACGAGATTAAAATTTTGCAAGAGCTTGCGGCTACCCCAAGAAATCACGATGGGTCGTGTTACGTGAATCAAATGTTGGACCACTTCACTGTAATTGGTCCCAACGGTTCACACGATTGTTTGGTCTTGGAGCTTGTTGGTCCTAATGTTTCAGATGTCATTCTCAACCACTGCAGTGATGGCAGGCTGCCATCCCCCGCTGCAAGGTCGATCTCGAGGCAGGTGTTGCAAGGTCTCGATTATCTTACTTCCAACGACATTGGGCATGGTGGTAGGAGTCACACTTCAATCTTTGATAAGCGGTAAAGCTGAACTTTCTAATAGACCTTCGCACTAGAAATATTGCTCTGGAAATTCCGGGGCTGCATTTACTCAGCGAAGGAGACTTGATCGCCAGACTTGGTGAGCCTGAGATGGGCTCAGTCACAAGGCAAGATGGCAAGCCATTGTCATCAAATATACCAACACATCTAGTCCGACCTTCGTCCTTCAGAAACAAGGACGTCCAAACTCTCCTCTCAGTCCCATCGATCAAGATAATTGACTTTGGTGAAGCCTTCTTCAACTACGACGCGCCCAAGACATTGCATACCCCGCTTCCAGTACGTGCACCAGAAATTGTGTTTGGAGATCATCTCAACAATCAAGTAGATTTATGGAGCGCAGGATGTTTGGTAAGTACCACCTGGCAAAGAAGATTGCATCTGCTAACACGCACAGATCTTCGAGCTTGTGACTGGGCAGCCCCCGTTTGACGTTGTCATGTTGACTTCCCCAATGCTGGTTCAACAAATGATAGAGCTTATTGACGATGATTTACCATCAAGATGGCACTTAAAGTGGCAAGAAATGAGAAGTAAAGCATCGGATGAGGAGGATACCTGGACACTGCAAAGTTGGATGGAAGAGATTTATTTCGATAAAGGCAAACATCCGGAGTTCACAAGGGACGAAGTAAGAGCTGCAGCGAAGCTTATTGCGCGGCTGATGAAATTTGAGCCATCACTTAGGACCTCACCAACCGATATTCTAGCTGAGCCTTGGCTCCAATAACTACTTCAACATAACCCCAAACTCCAGCAGATAAAAGATGCCTTACTCGACACAGGTCTGGTTGAATCCAATGATTTGGTACTGGTCAGCACTCTTGCAACCATTCTTGCAGTACTTGTAGAACTGAATTTTCCCTTCGGGGACTTTTCCTTTGGAGTCGGGACGGCAATAGAAGAGGGTCTCCGAGATATGCTTCTCTTTGAAATATGTTCGGTTGCTCGCGCGGTTAAGTTCTGCCATGATCCTGGGGAAGTATTTGAAAGCATCTACGATACTTGTTAGAGATAACCTGGACTAACGTAGAAGAGGCAAAAGGCTCACCAGCCTCCAGGAGAGCTTGGCCGCAATACATAAAGCGAGCGGTGCAGGTATACGCCTCTCCAAAACCAGCCAGCGCAGCGACGAGAACGAGCGGGGCGATGCTGATCTTCATGTTGAGAGGTGGCAGAATGATCTCTGAATTTTGGTTGTTTGATGTTGAAAGACGGTCAATTGGCGACTTCTAGCAATGAGGGGTCAGGGCGGCTTTTTATACACCATCCAGAAGCTGCCAATAAGTTTACTCATTAACTCATTGAGTCATCATATTGGTGTTTTATTACATCTGTGCCCTGGAGGCTGAAGCCTCTTTCAACCTCTCAGCCATGTCATGGAGTCATCACAAAAGCATATGATTCTATTTTTGATTAGAAACCTCTTTTTCATTAAGGTTGTATGCATAATGCCTTCGAAAACTCAAAGTTAAGTGGCATTCCTTAGTATATTAGCTTAACATATGTCGTTAAGATGTTAGAAGTGTTAATTGTCTCTGTCTACTAGGTAGTTGGCGATGTTCCGGGTTCTAAGGCTTCAGCACCCTTTCAGCCTTGCGGAATCTAGTCTTCCAATCTAGCGAGCCTAGATCCTATTATATGCATACTACGGCTCGTTGACTCCTGTTATTCTTCAGCCGTAGACGTCATGAATTTCGTAGATAGCTGGCATAGTGCCCGAACTGATTTGATAAGAGTGTCATTTTGAGCTGATACACCTCGCAGCTGATGCTCACATCACACGGCTCACGCGCTATCACCGGACAGTAAGAGTTTGGTTGGGCGACTACGAAAATCAGACAATTACAGTATTCATTAGTGACTGGCTTTGTATATGCTAGACCTCCAGGGGAAACAACAAATTATACTATGGACCATATCGGAGTATCGTCAACTTACCCTACGTTTTCCCATGCCAGAATCCCTGTACTGTGCAAGGATCTGGCTGCTCCCTCGGACCCCGCGGGCATCCCAGACGCGCTCTGCACGTTTCGCTTTCGGACAGGAGCAGCATTGCCGATGTTCCAGGGTTTATGAATGGCTAGGCCATGCTTCTTTCACTCTTTCAAACATGGCGATGCGACGCTGGCTTATATGGCCGCTCGGAATTTCGGATACCCAAAACCCCCATCATGTACAGCCTCGCACAGGCCCCCCGCGGCGCCCGGTGATCTGCTATTGCGCCCGACAAGTGCAAAGATATCAGACACGACCCTAATTGACTGGAATATTTATTTTCGTCGCTTTTCCCTTTCGTGGTTGAGCACTTCAAGCAGGAATTAGCAGACTCAACAATACAAAGCGCAGCATTTTCTCCTTAGCTGGATTCAGGAACTCGTTGAATATCTTCACCCTATCCTGCAATTCAATGGCAGTCATGGGATCCTACAATAATAACTTATTCGAGCTTCCCGCCAATGAAGCCCACAATACTCGCCCTGCAGAATACGACTTCAAGAACACTTACTTTCCTCCACCACCAGCATATGTCGCCAACAGTCCATCGACCCAAGAGCAATCCACAGGGATGCAAATAAACCGAAAGTCAGGTTTTGCGAATCGTCTTCACGTTCTCAGCGCCAAGATTGCTGGGCCCGTGAATGATTTCGCGAACAAGCTCGGATGCGAGGCATTCATGCCTACCTCGCTAGAAAAGGAGTGCGAGAAAGCAGCACGAATACTGACAGCTTTCTGTGGTACGTGTGGACGAGAGGCGTTGTAAGAGATAGACTAACATTTTCTGCAGAGGGAACGCCACTTCCGCCAAACGAATCATTATCAAGACGTAAGGTACTAGTCAAAATTCCTCGACAAGTCCTCAAGTCAGCTGCAGGTCTCGCCATCTTCACCGCATTTCGCTCTGGCGCACAATTCACATGGGGTAGTGGTTCAGGCGTTGTTGTAGCACGACAGCCCGATGGGTCATGGTCGCCACCGTCTGCCTTTGCCGTTAACACCCTGAGCGTTGGCTTCATGGTTGCCATGGACATATTCGACTGCGTCTGTGTTCTGCGGACCCCGGAAGCTGTGGCTGCGTTCACCAAACCGAGAGTCTCCTTTGGTGGCGAGGTCGCTGTGACTGCCGGGCCTGTTGGTACGGGCGTTTATGTCGATTCGGCTGTCAACAGCGACGGGGCTGCTCAGCCTATATGGAGCTACGTGAAGAGTAGAGGGTTGTATGTTGGGGCGCAGATCGATGGGACTGTTATCACGACAAGAGATAAGGCAAATGAGGACTTTTACGGGTTGGAAGTTCCTGTTGCTTCTATCCTGCGGGGCGGGGTTCCAGCGAGAGGGCCTATGTGGCCGGAAGGATACTGGAGTTTGAATAATGTGTTACGAGAAATAGACTATGGTAGATGAAGGCGCTAGCTTTGCTTTGTACGGGGTGGCGACAGCAACTCACCTTGGATGAGGGACCAGATACTTCAAGATATGAGATAATGACGGGAATACTATCGGTAACTTGCTAAGACAGAGACATGACTGAGCTGTCCCTCATCAGCCGTGATTGGCTGCATGGAGCCACGGCTCCCGAATCTGTTAACCTTGCACGACATACTGTTGTGTACTCTGACACTAGCAGCTGGATCCTGGCTCAGCTAGCCCTAATGGAGGTGGATGCATTGAATCGCGGCAGTTGTTGAACCTTAAACTTTATGCAGGGTCTCATCTCGCTCATATACCGCGCCATCCGCACGAGCATTATTTGTTACGGTCATCTCTTCTTCATTCAACTTTCCCTCTAATCCTTCCTACGCGTTTTGAGTGGTCACCTCACCCTAGCCACCGCGATGGACCAACCAGAGCAAACCACAACGTCCCAAATCCTCGTTCTCGCCTGTAGTACCCTCCTTTGTTTCGCAAGCACTATTTTCTTCATCCCGAAAAGTGCAGTCCTTAGTCGACTCGGGGCAGCGGTGGCTCTGAGCTGTCTGCAGCATTCCTTTTACACTTCCCTCTTGACATCATCGCTGCCCCCAGCCCAAATAACAGGTATTTCTCTGTTCAGCTGGGGACTCTACGCCAATGCCACTGAGCAGATTCTTCTATCGCGCTATAATGCCGACGATGTCCTTACGGTGAAGGAAAAGCAGTCGGGCCGCCGTTTAAGCACTGTCGCCCTTTTTCTTCGTGCTGTGGGCATGTATTTTAACCTGCGACGTGTTGGATTGCGAGGGGAGGTTTCGATGAAGCACCGGGTCCCGACAACTTCTACTCGGTTTGTTATAACCAGGATTGTCCAATGTGTCTGCTGTTATCTCGTCTTGGACGCCATATTTCTCGCGCCGCGTCCAGAGAAGCACTTGATCACGAGAGAAAAGCAGTCACTGTTCAACCTAACAAGCCTAACTCGGGAAGACGTAATCTTTCGCTTTGCTAGTTCCCTTGGGAATTGGGTTATTGGTTATGTCTCGGTACGATTGGCCCATAACTTTGTAGCTGCGGTATCTGTCCTGCTTGGCTTGTGCAAGCCAGAGGACTGGCCGCACCTCAACGGGCCAATAAGTTCATGGTCCACTGTTCGAACATTCTGGGGGTGAGACAAACTTTTAAAAGCCCTGCTGATATATGTTACCTCGTACTAAATATCTTCTAGAACATTTTGGCATCGGCTTTTTCGCAAGGCCCTAACCGGCTGGGGAGACTTCATTCCAGATAGCGTTCTCCATCTCCGTCGCGGTACGCTGTTGTCGCGATATTTACGCCTGACATTGACCTTCTTTGCTTCTGGACTTATGCACCGTTGCATACATTACTTCTACCGTCTTGAGGCCGGAGAGCGGTATGAAATTGAGACATATTTCCTTCTACAACCACTGGCAATTATGTTTGAGGACGCGGTGCAAGCTGCAACAGTGCATGTTCCCCTCCCAAGGCCATTGCGTTGGATAATTGGGTTTGCCTGGTTCTGCATATTCACCACGTGGGTGTCGCCATCATTCCTTTATCCTACCATGCGAGCAGCAGATCCAGGACAGTTGCTCCCATTTTCAGTCATAGGTCATCTTATGAAGTATTAATAGATACAGGCTGCCAGGTTATAATTCTCATTCTATGTCAGAGCGGCTATATCACCCTTTGGGAACCAAGAGCACAGCCGTGTAATATGCGGTTTTCGTTGCCTCGATCGGATACATTTCAGATTAGGAAGCTCATTCAACTAAATATACAGTTGACAAGCCAATCGCGCTTTTATGTGGCCAGGATAATTCAAAAGCCAGGAGTAATAACTGGACCTTTCTTATGGATTTCGTTCTGCAGCCAATTGGAGACAAGGTTTCTGGGGCAGTGAGAAGTCAAAGACTAAGCACTTAGGCCTTGGCAGAGGATCTCGCCTTATGTGATCTCAAGGGTAGAAGATATTCTCAGTAAGCTCATCGTCTGGTTTGGTGATAGCTCTATGCCAGCCTAGAGGACTGCGCCTACTGGATAAACAAATTGAGAAGATGTAAGTGTTATAAAAACAGAAGGGAGACGCTCGGGAAATGAACTTCATTCTCACTATCATTCACAACTATCAGATCAACATTCAAGTTCGCAAACATCACACTATCTTCCAAAATAACACTTACCATCAATTTATCTTATCCTCAGCTTCATACATTCAAGATGGTTGCCTTCAACACTCTCCTCACCTTCGCCGCCACTCTGGTCCCTTTGGTTACTGGGGCTGCCCTTCCCACTCATGAAGACTCCTCCCTCACCAGGCGTCAAAACCAAGACAAGTCCTGGGACGCCTACCACCACCAAAACGGAGCATTCGCAAGACAAGGCCTCTGTCTCTTCTACCTCGACCCGTCTCCCCGCGACGGTGCATGGGCATGCGGCGTCTACTGCAAAAACGACCGCACCAAGATCTGCACCACCGTGCACCCCAGCAAATTCACAAACGACATGCTAGGCGCGAACCCAGACGGTGAACGCTATGCAATCGGAAAATGCCAATGTGATACCTCAGCAGCGGATTTCCTCGCTACAGCTACTGTTGACTTCACGGCTAGAGGTCTCGACAAGGGTTTCAGAGAGATTGGAAGTGTTACGTGTGAGATTATGGTGAATATTATGAAGGAGGCTGTCTTTGCGAGCACTTATGCTATTCCTGGTGTTGGGCCTGTTG